GTCCGACTGAACGGAACAGTAAGAATCCGGAAAGATAGGGACACTCGTCGTTGCCTCTTCGTCGTCTCTGCCTATTCTCCCACTGACTGCAGCTCAGATGATGTAAAAGATGAGTTTTACAGAAAGCTTTCGGACCTTCTCCGAAAAGCTAGGCGCTCGGATGTAGTAATAGTGGCCGGTGACTTTAATGCTCAAGTAGGTAAACTAAGCGATAGGGAAAGACACCTAGGTGGATCTTATGGTGTCGTGGCTCAAAGAACAGATAATGGCGACCGTCTGTTGCAGCTATGCTCAGATAACCGCCTGTTCCTTGCAAATACTAACTTTAAGCATAAGGAAAAACATCTTTTAACATGGCGACCCCCTAATTCGTCCCAACGTTGGACCCAAATAGATCACATCGCTATCAGCCACCGATGGAGGGGCTCGATAGAAGACTGTCGCTCATTCTGGAGCACATGCCTAGATTCAGATCATGCTCTAGTGCGAGCGCGTATTTGCTTGCGTCTTACTGGACGTAGGAAAGACGCTGCAAGGAAACCTCTTAGGGCCTACTTAATGATAGTCAAGCTAAGAGTATATTTCAGGAACAACTAGGAAAACAGTTAGGCAGCCATGTATGTGATGCCCACCCCGATGCAGCATGGAATGATATCCGAAAAGCTGTGGAAACAGCAGTGATATCTGCTAGTAAGGTAAACCAGAAGGTTAGGGAGCAACACTGGATCTCAGCAGCATCTATCGCACTGATAGATGCTCGGAAACTCATTCCACCTGGCTCTGAACATAATGAAGAGCGGAGTCAGCTTAAGCGCAAGCTGACAAGAAGTCTACGCAATGATCGCGAACAGTGGTGGGTAGCGAAAGCAAGAGAGATGGAAAAGGCAGCGGCAATAGGTAATAGCAGACAATTGTTCAGACTCGTTAAGGAAACCGGAATTAGGAACCCGACCGTTAGCGAAACAATCTCAGAGAAAGATGGACATATTATTCATTCTCAATCCAGGAGATTGGATCGATGGGCAGAACACTTTAGGGATCAGTTCAACTGGCCTTCAGCCACACTTCGGTTTCCCACGATCTCCAGTCAACCTGAATGGCAAGTTAATGTAGGTCCTCCGTCCCTTTACGAAGTTGAAAAAGCCATAGGAAATCTGAAACGAGGGAGAGCAGCAGGCCCTGACAGGTTTACTCCTGAGATTTTTAAGGATGGTGGTCCAGTATTAGCAATGAGATTAACTGAGGTCTTAGGTAGAATTTGGGAACTGGACGTAATCCCATCTGACTGGTCTCAATCACTGATTGTGCCAGTTTAAGAAAGGACAAAAGTCCTCTTGTGACAATCACAGAGGAATCAGTTTGACTAATATAGTGTCTAAAATATTAGCTTCAATAATACTTCGACGCCTAACTAAAGCTCGTGAAGAGCAGACTAGAGAAAACCAGGCTGGTTTTCGACCTGGACGTGGTTGTATAGATCAGATATTCACACTACGTCAGGTTCTAGAACACAGACACACATTCAGACGCCCCACAATGGTAGTATTTCTCGACCTTAAGGCGGCATTCGACTCGTTGATCGTGAGGTTCTATGGCAGTGTTTGTCACTGAAAGGAGTACCAAAGAAGTACATTAACCTTATAAAGGCTCTCTACTCGAACACAACTGGTCGAGTGAGAGCTTATGGCGAACTGTCATCAGAATTGATTACCTCAAGTGGCTGTCCACTCTCCCCATTCTTGTTCAACTTTGTCGACGTACTTTTAGAGATAACACTCTCCTCATCTAAATTTCCAGGGGTTGAACTTCTACCGGGAGGTTCACTTGTTGACTTAGAATATGCTGATGACATAGTTTTATTTGGTGAAGACGCTGACAAAATGCAGAGTCTTCTGACCACTCTAAGCAACAATGCAAGCATGTTCGGGATGCGATTCTCTCCCTCGAAATGCAAAATGTTGCTTCAGGATTGGGTTACATCGACACCCGAACTAGTGATAGGGAGTGAAGTAGTTGAGTGTGTCGACCGCTTCACTTATCTTGGAAGTCTCATCAGCCCTTGTGGTTTAGTGTGTGACGAAATCTCAGCACGGATACAGAAGGCTCGACTAGCTTTTGCCAACTTGCGTCATTTATGGCGTAGGCGAGATATCCGTCTATCAACCAAAGGACGTGTTTACTGCGCAGCAGTTCGTTCCGTCCTACTTTATGGCAGTGAAACATGGCCGGTAAGAGTAGAGGATATCGTAGGTTACTAGTATTTGATCATAGGTGTCTTCGAAACATTGCTCGTATATCATGGGACCATCGAGTAAGTAACACAGTTGTTAGGAAACGGGTACTAGGTAAGGATGGCAAATCAATTGATGAAGTAGTGAAACTTCATCAGTTGAGATGGCTGGGACACGTGTTACGTATGCCCAACGACCGACTGCCTCGACGTGCTATGTTCAGTGGTATAGGAGTAGGTTGGAAGAAAGCTAGGGGCGGCCAAACCAAAACATGGCACAAGTCCATGAAGTCACTGACAAGTGAACTGAGTCATGTTGGTAGGTGTAGACTACCTGGTTGGGGACCGCGAGATGATAGCAACCGATGGTTAGAGACCCTGAATGACATGGCTCAAAATCGTTTGCAATGGCGCAGGTGCATCCACTCTCTGTGTTCTCCCAAATTCTAATCTTCTGAATTCTTCATGTCCCTTTTTTCCTCTTTCCAAATTTATTTCACTGGATTATACTCTTTAAATAACATCTCCAAACCCTAATCTTCCCGATTACTGCTTATACTCTTGCTACCTCTACCACTACGGGATTTGAATCGACAACTGCATCTCTGTGCTAATGTGGTGTGGCAACTCGAACTGATGTACGTACGTACATACGTACGAAGTTCTACGTTGTTACTGACTGACTGACTGAGTTATTTCAACAAATTTTTGATTATTAATTTAGACTACAATAACGATTCAGAAAGTATTCAGTGTTTTCAAGAAAGAGAAAATAACTTACAACCCAATTTGGCATTAAAATAAACTTGGTACGGGATAAAACTGATAACATGTTGTGGATTGTTTAGTGATTTGAGTGGTTGTCTTATGTCCGATCCCACTATAGTGTCGAATCGCTTTGCAAATAAGTGATATAAATAATGTTGCTCATACAAACTGTGGCTTACATAAGAAAATAACTTAAGTTACTTATAAGATTACAATTGTAATATAATTTTTGAGAATTTTTAACGGGTTTTCAAACTAATAACAACACATAATTATTTATAGAATACTAGATTAGATTCATGTAGTTTTGTGGCTAGTGGCCAAGTATATAAACCAATAATTTATAAACAATATTACCTTTTAAATGAATTGGCAGTTCTGTCACCTCCCTTTATTATCGCATAATCCAAAAGCGAGATTGAACAAAACGAAATAACAGTTTACATCAATATTCGTGTACTTTTGGATGAGTGATAACGGCTCCAAAAATTAATGAGGAAAATGGAAATCACCAGATGCGCGGAAATGTTCTCGTATACAATTCTTATCAAACATCCACAGAATCCAACGTTTTAGCGGCAAATATACTGGATATTGTGATACTTGTGAACAAAGGAAATTCCCTCCCGATAAATCTAGTGAGATTTCAGTTATCAAAAACTTGCCTTTTTTATTTTCACTTAAACAGTGTAAAGATGATTGAACATTTAAACTCATTCTCTGATAATTTATGGAGATAAAGCTAACCTAACCCAAACCATTCATAAATCTCAATTGATTTTAATCTTAACTACCAACCTACGTATCGATTTACGAAACGTAAAGTGCTGAAAGATTGAACCTATTCTAACCCATCTCACCTCTTTACTAGGTTATATCTTACTTGATAAAACCCTACTTGATGTAGGTTAATAGTAGGAGAAGCAATCCAGTTATTCCTGATCTTTGTTTATTGAAACGATTTTTGCTTTGTAGAGATAAGCTGCTCCTGTCTTGCTATGTCATTCTTAAGTCTTTTATTCGGCGTTCTGTCTCAACATGTTCTATTTTTCCAACCGTTTTATGATCACTATGTCCCGAAAGAACAATGTTTGGTAATTTCGAAACAGTAACTGGTGATTTATTAAAACAATACTTGCACAATATCACTTAATTTCTTAGTTTTTGATTAAAAACATACTGTCTACTGAATTTCTTAATAGTAGTTTATCTGGAAGTAGCAACATACAGCAAGTATTTGATACGCAAGCGGTACAAAGAACGAGAATTGGGTAATTTCATGACTAATGTATAGAATTTTGGTGAATAACTAATTAACTGTGTACCACTGTAACTATTGAACACAAAGAAATTTAGAAAGTATACAAACTGATAGAGGTAGATTGTTTTACATAAAAGACGCCTGTGTGATGAACGAATATGAAATGTCAGATGGGTTCTGTGGATATTATGGCAATTTCAATGGTTAAGATCATGATTCAGATGATGCTAGACCACCATGGAAAACCTGGAAGCACTGGACAGCCGTCTCGTCCTATTGCGTGACTCTTCGGAAGTGCGCATCCACGTTCCGCCCCGCGGGACTCGAACCCAGGACCTATCAATCACGCGCGCGAGCGCTTAACCACTAGACCATTGAGTCGGTATCCAACGGTGTTAATGTCTCACTTCAACTAACTACGAAATTGAGCGACACATCCACCATTGTCTTCAGTGAGTTACTATCTCACAACAGACCTGGTTGAACTCCGCTTGTCACTACTTCTCACTAGAACTCCAGGATATACCTATTGAGGACAGTCACTAGTGAGCATATGTTGAAGTTAGACATCAACACCGTTGGATGCCAGCCAGCCCAGTGGTGTAGTGGTTAAGTGCTCGCGCGCAAAACCAGTAGGTCCTGGGTTCGAATCTCGCAGGGGGCGAGGTCGTGGATGCACACTTCAATAGAACGAGACGGCCGTCCAGCGCTCCCAGGTTTTCCATGGTGGTCTAGCTTCAACTGACTCATGATCTTAACCATTGATATATGAAATGCCACCCCATATTTCCAAATAAGAAACGACACTTCCCCAATATTTCGAATGGATCCAAGCACAGCTTCAGAGGTATAATCTACTCATATGATTTAGAAATACCACACAGATAGCCAAACGGAATTAAGTGAAGTGTGTTGAACATAGGACCTGCCGATTCAAAATCTATTGCTTCAACCTCCAAACGACCTCCAAAATCGATAAACTAAAATTACATCTAATATACTAGTCAGAGACAGATAATAAATCGATTTGGAACTAGAAACTAGAAGTACATACAAGTATATTTATTCACTAGCTTAAGTCAAACAAAGTGTATCAACTGAATCGAAAATGAGACTCTATTTCAGGATAATAAAACATTTTGAATAGTAAACTGCCATTTATCCGTTAGTTGAGAAATTAATAGTTTCTCTGATATCAGAAATTATTTTGCACTAGTAATGAATCAACAATCGTAAAAACAAACACGAAATACGTAAGTTTTCTGGAAAATAAAAAATCGATGTTTATTTTAAAAGTAAAAATTAGGTTGATTTTTACAAAGAAACTAATGTTTTAAGCATATAAATCCCAATTTGGTCATCAAGTTGTCTAGATCTGCAGACAAGATTTTCCAGACAACCGTCATATACCCAAATAGGATCTAAAGGTTTTACAACAAATTATTCGATCCATAGTCTTTGGAATTTGTAATTGACTACCATTAATTCCAAAGACTGTTTAACCTCATCCTCCACCAGCCATTGGTGGAGCATTTGGAGCACCTAAAACGAAAAATGGAGGAAAACACTAACTATGCTTGGAGTGGATTCAACAGATAACTACAAACAAATACAACCCAGATTAGTTAACACTGGGGAATACTTACAAGAAGTTCAAATGCTAATGAAGTCTGATCAATTTTGTACTGGAAAAATCAACAGAAAACGACAGGTTCTAATAACAATGATTTAGCTTACTTCTGTACAACACTTGAAAATCCCAGGAAGTCTACTAAATTTCAGTATTTAATATAAACCACCTCAAAGGAAAAACACAATGTAATTCACTTACAGATGTAGTAGGTAAAAAAAACTACGTGTTGTGAGAGAGCCACTCGCTGTTACTGTCTATACTTCCACAGGTAGGGTGAAATTTGAATGAGTGATAAATAGAACATACAGCCTAGCGCAACACGTTCCAGTTTGAGGTGTCATATTTATCATTAGTACACTGATATTGGGCACCCGGACAGTATCACAGCCCTCACACAAATCAATGATAACTATTACTGGTCTCATTGTTATTGTGTGGCGCATATGTGTATGGTGCCCCCTTGTACCAATGTTTATGTGCTCAAATAAATAAATTGACAGGAAATCAACAAAATGAGCAAAAAAGTGGAAATAATTATGTGAACTATAGGAAATATGCACACAACGAATGAAAGGAGAGATCTACGTGTCAAGTAGCTCGAATATAGGTTAAAAGGTTTACTTAAGTTACCATAACTGCTTTTGATTTATCCTATTCACTGATCAAAAGTCAAGTGTCCAAATTGACGAGCTTTTCTATCGGACTAATATTTTGATATTTTTCAGCATTGTACTGACTGGTCCCTTCTTGATGTTTTAGAAAAGTGGAGACGGAGTATCTGACCGATTTTCATTAATAGTACTTACCGCTTGTATCTTAGTAATTTGTCAGCTATACTATATACAAGAAAACATATTACTATCACAAATGACCTTTCACCTAAACCATAGACATAGTTAGCAGAAACTACACTATGCATCTTGTGAGCAACACAACAGTTTTGTGCATCCTACATTTCCGTTTAAACTTAGGATAACTGATTTTTGTTAAATAATAACGTGAGAGTTTGTAACACCATTTAATGACATGCACTTTCACAAGTACTTCTTGCTAAGGCAACCCAAGTTACTCATCTATGCGTTGTCAATGAGACACTAGGACTATCTCAGACTCCTTTGGTGAGAAAAAAGTGCCCACAGCCCTAGCAAATAGTTATATTTCTCGACAGTTACGCACTTCATGTTTATGGAAGCGTAAGATTCATGGTATATTTAAAGGAGGACCATCAATTAAAGAACGAGTATATTAAGCAGCAGTTTATTCTTTTCTACTTTAGTTACGACACGTGGCCATTAAGGGTAGACAATACTCGTAAATTACTAGTATTTGACCATAGATGCTCCAGAAATATTGTTCGCGTCCGCTGGGATAGTCAGTCAGTCAGCTACAACGTGGGACCAGGCACATATATGCATCGGTTCAGGTTGCCATACCTCATTAACACAGCAAGATGAACACCGGATTCATAGGAGTGGTTAGGTCAAAGGTGGTAATATATAGGAGAAAGATTGCATATAAAAACATAGTACAGGAAGAAATAATTAGTACTTAGAAAGAAAGATACGAAGTGATTTTAATCTTTTAGTTTAAGGGAAGACAGAGAGTGTATACACCGACGCCATTGTGATCGATTCTGAGTCATGTCACCAAGAGTCTCCAACCATCGGTTACGAAAGTCACGTGGACCCCAACCAAGTAGTCTGCATTTACCAACATGGCTCAGACTAGAGGTTCGTGTATTCAAGCACTGATGCCACGTTTTGGTTTGGCCGCCCCTAATTCTCTTCCAACCATCACTAACATCCGTTAGCATTGTACGACGTGGTAATCGGTGTTCAGGCATACGTAACACGTGACCCAACCATCTCAGTCGATGAAGATTAACAACCTCATCAACTGATTTACCAGCATTGCCTAATACCCTGCGTCTAACCTCACTATTACTTACCCGGTGATCCCAACAGACGCCAGCAATATTTCTAAGGCATCTGTGGTCAAATACTAGTAGCTTACGGGTGTCTTCTACTCTTAAAGGCCATGTTTCGCTGCCGTAAAGTAAGACAGAACGGACTGCCGCGCAGTATACTCGTCCTTTTATTGATAGACGGATATCTCGCCAAAGGTGACGTAAGTTGGCAAAAGCCAAACGAGCTTTTCGAATCCGTGCTGAGATTTCGTCCGATACCAGCCCATTAGGGCTGATCACACTTCCAAGATAAGTGAAGTTGTCGACGCGTTCGACCACTTCACTCCCTATCCTTAGTTCAGGTGTTGACGCAGGCCAGTCCTGAAGCAAAAACTTGCATTTAGAGGGAGAGAAGCGCATTCCAAACACTCTGGTATTGTTGCTTAGTGCTACCAAAAGACTCTGCATTTTGTCAGCATCTTCACTAAACGGGACTATATCATCTGCGTATTCTAAGTCGATAAGTGGACCTCCTGGTAGGAGATCAATACCCGAGAATTCAGTCGACGAGAATGTCATTTCCATCAGTAGGTCTATGATGAAGTTAAACAAAAATGGAGAAAGTGGACAGCCTTGACGGACACCACTTGAGGTTGTTCCGCTGGGACAACCGGGTAAGTAATGGTGAGGTTAGACGTAGGGTATTAGGGGATGATGGTACATCAGTTGATGAGGTTGTAAATCTCTATAGACTGAGATGGTTGGGCCATATGTTACGTATGCCTGAACATCGATTACCACGACGCAAAATGTTGGCTTGTGTCGGAGACGGTTGGAAGTTAGGGGCGGCCAAACCAAAACGTTGCATCAGTCATTGAAGTCACTAACTTTTAGTCTGAACCATGTTGGTAGATGCAGACTACTTGGTTGTGGTCCGCGCAACTATCGTAACCAATGGTTGGAGACTCTTGGTGACATGACTCAGAATCGATCACAATGGCGTCGGTGTATACACTCTCTTTCTTTCCTTAAACCGTGAGATTAAAATTACTTTATATCTTTCTTTCTATAAACTGATTCTTTCTTTTTGTAGTATGTCCTAATATGCATTCTTTCTTCTATATATTACAACCATTGAAATAACTGCATCTATGAATTTGGTGTGTCATCGCGTTGTGATAATAAGGTATGGTAACTTGAACCGATGTATATGTGCCTGGTCCTACATTGTGGATGACTGACTGAAATGAGGGCTATAGAATATGATATTAAGAAGTTTAATATAAATCTGATACAAATGCTAGGCAGATCATTACCTCCACAGCCTCCAAATCCACCAAAACGTCGTCCAGGTGGTCGAGGTGGTCTATAACATTAAAAGTTTTTTGAAAAGAACTTGGGCGACTAACCTTCCATCCCAAGAATTTCTTTGATTAGATGTCTTCTGGCGAAAAAGCTACAAGTAGCCTGTCACTTTTAATCGTAGGAACTTACGTCTAAAGGTAAGAGTGTTTGAATACTGAAAAAGTAGGTGAATAAATGATAAAATATCGACTTACAATAGGCAAATGATGTTGAAAAGATTGAGAAGTATCTGTTTCAAGTAACGTATACCCCATGGTTGCCTATCAACAATATTACCTAAAAATACAAAGAACTACTGTCTTTAAGACGATTTTTTGCATAGATTAACAGGTTTGGATTTTTTCAAAAATATAATTATGCACCAGTAAATATTTTCTTCGTGAACCATATCTCTGATGCCTAATTTTTTTAATCACTACCAATAATGATACTATCTATATCAATCTGGTATTGGTTTTGACAATTTGACCTCGGTGTGCTAATGGGGTGTAACAACTTGAATTGATGTACATATGTAGCAGGTTTTAAATTCTATATAACTGACTGACAAGTAAACATTAATTAGCAGAAATACATCCCTCAATGTGGATTGGATAAAAATCAAATTGATTCAGTATTCTTATTTACAGAGTATAGTCATATTTATGACAGTTTGAAAAAAAACTACAACAAAATGTGATAAGCACTTCTCAACAGTTTTCTATTGCCTAACTTCCGAAATTTGAGGCAAGTCAGTTCTTGAATAGGTAGCATTTAGGGGAAGCGTCTTTCATCAAGTTCTAATAACGAGAGGAAAGGTTGCTTATCCACTGCAATACAATATGTAAAAATTATTCAGAAGCCGTCGTAAGCTCGACTACCAGTGTACTCTCTTACGTGCTCTAGAACGGCTTTCTCTCGGGATGTTCTTATACAGCAATACATTTATAATCTCTGAACAGGAAAACCCACTGGTTTTCTCCACGAAATGCGGTGCTTAGACTGGTTTATTGGGTACAAGGTTCCGCCTAGAGGAGCTAAAAAACCCTATACCAAGCCGACAGCAAGCACTATCCTCGAGGTCTTGAAAGGACAGTGTATGAACGCATTAGTGAACATTGGTTTATGAGAAACGGCATCTCTTAACGCCGCTTTAAAGACTTGGGGATTGAACATCTAGGTCAGGAGCTAAGGAAATAGGTCCCCGAGAAGACCTGCTACATTTATGTATTTCTAAATTATGTTGTTCATAAACATCACAGGAGCTCCTTGAACAGAAACAAACTTTTCTTAACCACTGATGGAATAATTTCTGACTGTATCTGCTACCTCGATGCAGAGGTATAGCATAAATGCCCGACAAAGCCACTATGGCCATAACTCCCAATGCTTATAGGAAGGCATTTCTGATCTGTCTTGGGTATTTCATTTATTAGACTTTTTAGTTGTGCAACCACATTACTAAGACTAACAATAACTCAACCTAAAAAGGCCTTAAAAGATATTTCAAAGTGTACAAACCAGCAGACGATTTGACGTACACACTATCGTAAATTATGGGGATTCTTGGAGATTGCAGTATTTTCGAAGTTGAATTCACGAGTTATTCCAAGCTAGACCACAATTGAAAGCCTGAAAGCACTGAATGGCTGTGGATGAGTACTGCCAAGGAATCTCGTAGTAGGAAGAAACTGACGTCTAGTGATTTCAGGTTTTCAATAGTGGTCTAAAATTGGTCAATCTCATTCGAAAATCGTGAATTTAACTTTGAGTATATACGGTTGTTTACTGAGAAAAAGGTTATTTAGTACCGAATGAAGTAGATCTGTGCGTACTCTAAGAACTAAGTAGGATTTCGTGGTGATCAAGATATTTATTTCTAAAATGATACATTTGTAGAAACAGTGAGACGCTGTTTAAAAGACCCCAAATACCTTTACATTGCGTGCTAGCTAACCTAATAAATTGGAAAAACTTATGAGCGGTGTAATCAAAAAATGTAATTACATGAAGTTACTGAATGCCAAACAAAGATATATTGATTGATACAAACAGCCGTTCTGATAGCTCTTAGTTTCGCTGTTGGAGGGAAATATAGTGCTTAATGGTTGCCAGAAATTATGTCGATCATCACTAATTATCTATTTGAAGTGTAGCATTATATATATTTTTTGTTGTCTGACCGTTTAATGGTTTTACTCCAAATATTGTATTTTAATGTGCAAGAAACACAGTTGACAATGTCAGGACATGTACCCGTTTATTCAGTTGTATGTTGAGGTGTTTTTGATTCAGAAGTATACAAAATTTCCCTTAGAAGGATATATAAATCCTCTTGAAGTGTCGCTGACATTTAAGTAACCCATTAAACAAGTATCCTACTTTCCAAGTGCTAAAAAATTTAGAAGTGGACTATTTGATAACTCTACTTAACTGTCTTAATATGCCTTGACAGTTTTGAGAAGATTAATGTAACGAACCTGAACTTGTAACAAACGTCATTGCCAACTCGACCTTGACAACTAACTGTGCTCTTCAAAATACGAAACATTAAAACAGAAAACCTTCTTAAAATGAAGTTCGCAAATAGTGGATTCTGAATATTCTGCATAGATTTCAGTGATTAAAGTTAATTCATCATTAGTAAGAACAATTTTGTGTAAGTGGGTCTCATCACATACCTCAATAGATTCATAGTTACGCTGGGATTATTCTGTAGAACAATTCATAATTCATTACTATCCATTATGAAAGCACCTTATAATTTGGATAATTTAAAACCATCTATGAAGAAGTTGTGGTAAATAACTCCATGAAATATTCAGCTCTCATAATGACATTGTCAGTTTTATCGTGCACTCCTAAACAGAGCCTCTTGGTGACTTATCGTGGCGATGTCAGGGGACACCCCACAAGAGATGCTTCTCTTAATCCATATGACTGGCTCATTAATATATCATCTCACCATATCGATAGCCTTCCAAATATATCTTTGATCTACTTCATTTCTGACTTCTGCTTTGACTGGCTTTATATACTTCGACCATGAAGTTGTTACGAGTAAAGGAGTTGTGAAACTCCGAATACCTGTTGCACTTTTAAGTGCATGTGTATGCATGATATTAGCATTGAAAAGAAGAGAATAATAGTGATCTGGGTGTTAATATGTCTTGTCTTTTTGCTCCTTCCAGCGTTAATAATCTCCGAAGTCATAGCAAGAAGGTTCGCAAACCGCGACCTAATAAGCTTACAGAGAGGTCCCGTTTTTCTCATCTAGTAGTCAATGACTGGAACTCTGGTGTAAGCCCCATCATTGAATATTTTCAAGGAGAATCTGGACCTTCGTTGGAAGCATTAACACAGGTTTACCAACCCACTATCCTTATTACTGTAGACTGAAAGTGGATACCAGTTCAGAAAAAAGAGATAACGCTTTTAAAGTATCCTAAACCCCACACTTCCGAAGTTATGACAGTAAGTTAATTTACAAACCGGTCTAAAACAAAATAACACCTGTATGGTGAACTTCGTACGACAAAGGTGATGTCATGTTTCTAGAGACCTTGTGTTCTCACGAAACATATACTTGAATAATTACTGAAAATAAAAAGACAATATTAATCATGATAAAATCTGTAGTAACTTCGACCAAGCGTTATAAAGCTCATAGATATTATTGTCAGACATTATGTGGCAAATGAAAATTTTTTATCCCACTTATAATTCCTTTCTTCTCATAACAAATGACGACTTCCTACTCGTGTGTACTTTTACGTATGCGATATGTATTTGCTTTTACCTGTTCACGTTTGAGCTATATGTGTGAGCTTGTAGAACTATGTTCTACTATGATATAATGGCTGCTCTAATAATAGACCTAATCCTAAATTTGTAGATTTTTCATGATATAACCGCCTAATCTATAAGATCTTACGTGGAAGTCACACCATCGACTACGCCAACTCACTGTATCGTATCAATTACCAATACATGGTGTAGAACAAGGTTAGGCTAGAGAAAGAACAATATATTTAATATGAATAGAAGATATAAGATAGCATTCAGCAGGGACCACGCCTGCATGGCCGAGCCATGCCGTTCGATCAACTCTAATCCATTCAACTCATTGTTCGCGCCTTCTCTATCGTTAGGTATTTCTCCGTGTTAAATATTGAATATCTATTTTCCGAGTTGTCTCATGTTCAGCTTTGAGGATTGTGTGGTTATGGTCCAATGCCACTACAAGCTCATTTGAAGAATTGTACTGATTTTGACTCAGACCAATATCCGTATCACACACACACTCCCATGGTTTGTTTCTTCATACGAATGTTTGGAACATTCATAATATTGACAAGGAAAGTCAGAAGCCTGAATGAAAGGAGTACTGAGCAATCTGAAATAATGCTATTTCATATAGTCCATTAATAATGATTGTTTATTTAGGAGTAATGGCCTGACATGCTTTGATATGATTTTTGGGTTCCCCTGTCTATATCCCCTAGATGGAGGGCCGTCACCGCAGTGTTTGTAAGAAATATCCACGGTGAAGACATAAGCGAACTATTCAGTATGGATGTAAACCCCTAATTTGACATATGATAGGACCGACTTCACGCTTTTTGAAAACTAATTCAAGGATTAAAACTATGCAGTGACCGTAACTCAGTATGGAACATTGCTGTTTTCCCATGGTACATTTGTAGTATTCGTTCACCTTTTGTAGGAACATATACTTAGAACAACCTTTACCACAATTAAAGTATGCAGTCGTTACCCCACTGCCTGGGACAATTCATAGATATCTGCATGACCAATATCTCAAAGGATATTAAAAGACGATAAGATTATTTGAAACTCGATAATCAGGATCGTCTATAATGGTCAATCCGTGCCCTTGAGGATATCAAATATATTTTGTGCTTGACAATGCTGTAGTCCGTAACACTAGTCAAAGCAGAAGTCAAGGATAAACAGGCTCTAAGATATATTCGAGACGTGGTCAGTGCGTCGATATGTATATAAACTAAGCTGACTAGTTATTGTAAGAAAAGCGTAACACGGAGTACCCAGTCGTGATCTGGTGAGGATGTTTGAACGAGCCACATAAATCATGAATATTTTCAATGGAACTGAGGGGGTCATTATCAAATGAAAGACGTAAAGAACTATTTATTTTGAGGATTTATTCACCATTACACTATTGATGCGATAAATTTTGACTGAGGTGTCAGCTAGCTTCTAGAATATTTTCTGGCAGTGTGAGGAACAAAAAATTAGAGAAATCGACTTTTCGGATGTTAAATCCAGCGTATGTATGTCGCTTTCTTCAGTTACACCAACCCATTTATATAGATCAAGGGACAATGTCACCCGATATGTTCCTAAAAAAACGTAATAAAACTTATTAAAAGTATTTTTAGAAAGTACGTAGTGCAAACATAACTGGATATTACCACAAGGATGCTATTTATAACGGGGGCAGACACCTTGTAATAACACACTTGTCACAATCGAAAAGAACTTTTATCACTCAAAGGACGACACTCAACCATAGGTGAAGAGATTACTTGCTTACTTGCGCCTGTTAACCTTCGTGAATCATGGCCCGCCGACCAGAATTCTCTAACTGACTCTGTCCTGCACAACCCTTTTCAATTGCTATTCATCCTTTTCATGTCTGCATCCAATTTCCAGTGCGATGTGTCCTTTGATCTTCTTCTTTTCACTTTTCCTTTAGGATTCCACTTCCAACGTGTTTTCCTTATTTCCTCTTTAGCCGGAAGATGGTTTGTTCACTCCCACAGTAGGCTGTTGCTGATGGTATTACGCCAACGGACATTCGGTATCTTGTGTCGACAATTGTTTGTAAATACTTGTATTTTTTTATGATGGTTGTGGTAATTCTCCAAGTTACAGCTCCGTACTATATAACTAACTGTATTGATGTTCGTGTTGAAAACTGTGACTTTGATACTGGTTGACAGTTGTTTTGAGTTCCATATGTTGTTCAACTGTAAGAATGCTGTCTTTGTTCTTCCAATACTTACCTTTACGTCTCCATCAGATCTTCCACCTTCATCGATCATGCTTCCCAGGTACATGAAAGATTCCACCTGTTCTAGAGTTTCTCCATCAAGTGTGGTTAGGCTGTTGTTCTCCGTGTTGTATTTAAGGATCTTGCTTTCTCCATTGTGTATGTTGAGGCCTACTGATGCACAGGCTGCTGCTACACTTTGTCTGCATCTGCGTTTGTTGATGTGTATGGGATAGAAGCGTCAGGTCACCTGTGAAGTCCAAATCGTCGGGCTGCATCCAACCTGTCCATTGTATTCTGTGCTTCTCCTCAGGTGTGGAGGCCTTCATAATCCAGTGAACCACCAGAAGAAAGAGAAATTGGTAGAGTAATTAATCTTATCTGACTCCGGCCCCCACTTGGAATGCGTCTGTCAGCTGTCCACCGTGCATCACTTCGTGTTGTAGCCAGTCATATGAATTCCGCACGATGTTGACAATCTTCCCAAGTACAAAATAGTATCAAAGAATGTTCCTCATGAAACTGGTGACTATCATCTTCCTCGCTACTATTGGTAGGTGCATAACACTCGATAACACTCATTGCGATTTCCCCTTCTTTGTTTCGGAGGATGGTTTGATGGTTCTGGACCCATGAGATTCCCATCCTATAAGTGCTTGTCGTGTTTTCTTGGACAGCATCAGAGCAACTTACTGAGTGCGCGGAGAATTTTCTTCTCCATGACCAGAGTACAGCAGCATTTTTTCCGAATCTAATCTTTTCTGCCTAGCTTGGTCCAATGGGTCCCACATACTCCGAGAACCGCCAAGTTGTAATTCCTCACTTCCGTAATTGTTTGATTGGTCTCTTCTGTCTCCTACATTGCTCGAACATCCCATTCACTCATAATAATTGTTGCTCTGGTTGTTAGAAAGAGCGTCTGCCTCGTGACTTCCGATGGATTATGGCTTTCATCACGAGGAGTCATAATTCTTATGAATGGAGGGCAGAGTTTAGACAATTCAAATTGTTGCTTCTGGTTATTATTTTTTCATATGGTTGCTTTCTACCGGATGGAGTTGCTGGCCATATGTCTAACCCCCTTTTTTATCTGGGCTCAGGACAGGCAGTAACCTTTGTAGGGCTGCAGGCGGAGTTATCGCATGTCTTATAATACTACACTTGAAGTACAATCGAGATAGCCGAGAGGTCTAAAAACAAAGTCTCTGTGCGTTAAAAACGCCATATTAAACCTTTTTCCTTAAAATCACAGACCTCAAGCTCAATAAGTCAGTATTATTTTAGGATATATATGATAACTCATTTCAAATGGTGTATTAACTACCAGTTTCATATTTTCGTAAGTTGAGTCAACGTGATTCAATGAATACTATGATTACAACCTTTACATTTTTTCTTGTGCACTTAATTTATTAAGCGCTGACCTCACTTCTCTGTCTCTTGTTTTCATCCTGCCCATAAGTGCCTTTGATAATCTTTGATTGGATAGTTTATCCGATTATTTTTCTTACTTTATGTTACTGAGATGTATTGGCACATTTTCATTTGGCCTAAAAACTGAATAAAGTATATATTACTTATTAGTTTTCTTTAACATTTACATGCACTAACAAATATAGTTTACCACAAATCTTTCATTCATAACTAAAATACTAAGTTATGTGCTTTGGCCATGTCTATTCCTTTCTATTTCTAGTTTATAATTATTATTGTAGAACTTGATATAGGTTTACTGAAAGGAATATTTTACATTCATATATTTAGATTTTAAGATGATGGCAGTTTTTACCCTGGTTTTAACCAATAACATCCGATCTGCTATAAATATTATATTGCTGTTAATTTATGATTGGTAGTTTAATTCTATGATGTAAATGTGAAATAGGATAGGTTATACTTATTCTTAACTAGTTGTTAGCTATAAGTTTACATTACTTATCAAAAAATAAATATATTAATTTATGGATAATGAATGTAAGTGAAGCAAGACCGTAAGTAAACTACAGGAATCTTATAAATATTAACTGATGTCTTTGGGTCTATGTATGGTTATTATATTATCAATGAATGACATTACTACCTTTTACAACTGAGTTATTTTTATTTGTCATAACTACAAGATCTGTCATAAAGTATTCGCTATAAGTAGTGTAAAAGTATAGATTTATTACACTACATTACCTAGTATTGTAATCTTTCCATTACGTCATCATTTTTATGTATTGTTTATATTTCCTTATGGTGTTAAGACCTGTAGTTTTTTCTGTATATAAGTGTTTATACAGTTTGATAAAGAACTTGTCAAAAGTGATTTATTTTGTGAATTTCATGTTTTTAGTGACCTCCTATCAGGTTTTATAGTTATTCATTCAATTAATGTTCCAAAAGTACAATCAGGAAATTGAGTTCTCCAAACGGTAGAAGTGATAGCTATTCGGATTAACGATCTGAAGCTTTGTGTTCAGAAGAAATATGTCTAACTACCTCTTTATTCTGCTCTAAAGTTTCAATCTCAATGGTTATCTTAATTATAAGACAGTTAATGTACATGTAACTTTTCTCCCAATTGTATTTTCATGACAGTAAATTTATTTTATAAATATATTATAATTATTTTCATAGTTTGAATCACAAAGTAATCTTATAGCACTATTGAAAACTTGGAAGTAACGGACTTCTCAACAGAGTACATTCACTATCCTTCATCGATTTGTGATTCAAAGTAGGGAAATTCGACAATTTTCATAAATCCCTCCATGCTAATCATCATGTACTTATAGTGACTCACGTGCAATTGAGTTTAGTTCAGTCAAGGTCTTTTGTTGACCTATTTAATGGACAAAGTCATCCATGATATAACAACTTGTTGTATTATCTTTATTATTATGCTTGTATGAAATACATATGCTTGAACATTGTTTAGCGCCTACGCATGTATTCATTCTGCTAGCTTCATTATTAACTGCTTAATCTATTCGCTGACTCATCCATTTTCCTATACATATATATATGTGTACATTTGCACCCATTCACTACTACTACTACTACTACAACTACTTGCTACTGCTACAATCGTAGTTCGCTTGCTCATTCATTTTGCCTCTCTGCTGTCTGGTCCGAATTATCTACTAAATAAACTGTAGTAGCTGCTTCTATTTGCCTTCTGATTTCAAACATCGTTGAAGATTATACGATAACGGTTCGAGGGTGATTAATTAACGAAGCACAGCCACTACAGAATTGGTAATCCCGACGTGAGAACGGGAAGCGAATTTTGACGAAATAATCAAATTCCAAAAATCCGACTACCTTCATCTCAATTTGGATTATTAAATGAACTATAATTACAACTGTGGATTTATATTATTATTTTAATTACACTTACATTATTTCGCAAACATTATTAAACGTGACAATTATAATCATAATAAATAACAATTATTCATAAACAATTGATATATTGGTGCAATTTAGTAAGTCTGTTCCATTTTATAAATTGTGCCATTTTTTTATTATCATTGTTTTCACCCGTCTATTTTTCCTTGTGATTGTTAAAGTATTTTCGTGTGCTACTTAATTTTTATAAGCATGTCTTATGAAAACACAGTTTCAAGCGTACAGCAAGCCTCGTCCGTGAGGTCTCTTAACCTCCCTGCCCCTTCTTTTAAAATCGCAGACCCAAAACTTTGGTTTATAAGACTTGAAAATTATTTTCTCGCTAACCGCATTCTTTTGCAAAAGGATAAGTTCGGCCTGACAAGCACACTACTCCCAGACGAAGTAGCTGACAGCGTTCGAGAGGCACTAGCAAAACCAGACACAGAAAAACCATACGACGTGCTAAAAGAGGCTGTAATTAAAACTCTCTCTCTCAGTGACCAACAAGCCGTCGAACAACTTCTTAACCAAGTACAAATGGGAGATAGAACCCCATCACAACTAAAAAATTATATGAAAAGTTTACTTGGCGATAGACACATTGACAATAATCTCTTTTATCAACTGTGGCTCCGCCGACTCCCTGCAAATATACAGCAGATCCTAGCTGTGGGAGATACGGATGCTGATTTAGACAATATAGCAAAGATAGCCGATAGAATATACGAAAGAAGCAAGCAAGCAAGCCCTCCACTACACAATGTGACGGTAGACGATAGACTTGATACTCTACAGAAGGAAATAAATGTTTTGTGCCGAAAACTCTCAGAGTTAACGCAGAGAGAAAAGCCACGAAGGTCATCGCGAGATCGTTCGCGTGAAAGGACCCGGTCAACTTCTAGACGACGCACAACTCCCGCGATATGTTGGTATCATCAAATGTTCGGCTACAGGGCCAGAAAGTGCCTACAACCTTGTAGATTTAACAGGAATAGTAACCGATACCCACGAGTATCAATGGCAACAGCATCAACACACATAATGCCTGAAAATAGTCGCCTCTTTTATATACAAGACCGGACCACTGGCGCACAATTCTTAGTTGACACTGGAGCGGAAATTAGCGTAGTACCTCCATTTAACGAGGAAAGAAAAAACATTAACCCGTCGTTAGTGCTAAGAGCAGCAAACAAATCAGATATTAAGACATATGGTAAACGGAAATTGTCCCTAGATTTTGGACGTGGCGCTTCATACCGTTGGAACTTTGTCATAGCAGACGTATCGATGCCCATAATAGGCATAGATTTCTTATGTAACTTTGACCTGCTAGTAGACTCTAGACGACACAGACTTATAAACGGCAGTCAAACCACTTCGATAAGAGGAATACTTACGGAAGCCGTTTCAATGAACCTTGTGATAGATAAAAGTTGTGGTGATCCATATAAATTGTTGCTAAGGGAGTTCCCTGAACTCGTAAAAGTAACATACAATAAAGCGGATCTCAAACATTCTATTCAGCATCACATCGTAACGAATGGTCCACCAATCAATGCAAGACCAAGAAGGTTAGATCCTAAAAGACTAGCCATCGCAAAACAGGAATTCGACAAGCTAAACGAAGTGGCAGACGCGCTATCTAGAACGATGGTCAACGCTCTCGTCCAGTCCGAAATCGATTATCACAAGTTAGCAGCATTACAAAATATCGACGTCGAGTTAAACAGACTAAAGTCTGCCAACACAACCTCGTTAGTTCTCAAAGAAACTCCATTGGAAGAAGTAAGCATCACCTGCGATATTTCTACAGGCCAACCAAGACCATTTATTCCAAAGCCGCTAAGGCGAAACATTTTCGAAGCCATGCACAATATTTCGCATCCCGGAATAAAGGCCACCATCAAACTAATCAGCGAACGTTTTGTATGGCCAAGTATGAATCGGGATATTCGTAATTGGACGCAAGCGTGTATAAAATGCCAGAGAGTTAAGATACATCGCCACACCAGTTCCGCAGTAGGTCATTTCCGTCATCCCGATAACAGATTCGAGCACGTACATATCGATATTATAGGACCACTGCCGGTTTCGAATGGTTTCAGTTACATTTTCACTTGCATTGATAGATTCACACGATGGCCTGTAGCTGTGCCCATAAAAGATATTACAGCCGAAACTATCGCAAAAACCCTAGTAGAGCATTGGATTTCTCATTATGGTGTACCTACTAATATCACAACCGATAGAGGAGCTCAATTCGAGAGCCGCCTCTTCCAACAACTCACAGAACTACTCGGAATCAAACGAATTCGCACAACATCCTACCATCCGATGTCGAATGGTATGGTAGAGAGATTGCATCGGCAACTTAAAGCTTCTCTTACAGCTGTCATCAGCAATAATGATTGGGCCAGCAAGCTACCGTTAGTCATGTTGAGCTTAAGATCAACAATCAAACAAGATATAGAATGCTGCCCAGCAGAATTGGTTTATGGAACCACACTACGTCTGCCAGGAGAGTTTTTCACTGCAGGTAAAAGCGATCCAACTGATATAGCGGACTATGTACAGCGTCTTAAGCAGCATATGAGTAGTCTAAGGATAACGCTTCCGAGACAACATCAACGCCGTGTGTACATACCCAAACAACTAAGTGACAGTACCCATGTGTTTATCAGAAGGGATAATGTGCAACGTCCCTTACAACCAGCCTACGATGGTCCATTTAAGGTGATTAAACGAGACGACAAAACTATCACGGTAGAAAAATCTGGAAAAACGGATGTAATTAGCATCGACCGAGTCAAACCAGCTTTCATCGAAGCCTACGATCAGCCAGTACATACAGATACTGCGAAAACCGTTGAATCATCGAAGCGTCAGTTCCAATCATCAACGACATCGACAAACACAAGCAAAGAGAATCCAGTAACGACAAGGTCTGGCCGAAGAGTAAGATGGCCCCAACATTATGTCGCTACAATCTTCTATTAATAATTTTCTACTATTTAAAATATTAATTATAACTTCCACTTCATTGTACACACATGCATTACTAATTTCATGTTATACGCTATAAAACTCAACATATCTTATGTACCCCTACACTTACACGTATAATTTTTATTTAAAATGTAAAGCAATACCGCATTCCTTCTATTTATTGCTATTATTTTTTAAAACCTCACGGACGGGCGCAAACCAAATGTACAGCACACACTAACTTCATCTTAATTTTGTACAAACCATTTTTTTCAAACGACTGTAACTACCCTACTCAGTTTACTATTTTTTTTGTGCAAACACAGACATTTTTCCATATATCTTTGTTTGCAGGGGGGAGCTATTATAGTGACTCACGTGCAATTGAGTTTAGTTCAGTCAAGGTCTTTTGTTGACCTATTTAATGGACAAAGTCATCCATGATATAACAACTTGTTGTATTATCTTTATTATTATGCTTGTATGAAATACATATGCTTGAACATTGTTTAGCGCCTACGCATGTATTCATTCTGCTAGCTTCATTATTAACTGCTTAATCTATTCGCTGACTCATCCATTTTCCTATACATATATATATGTGTACATTTGCACCCATTCACTACTACTACTACTACTACAACTACTTGCTACTGCTACAATCGTAGTTCGCTTGCTCATTCATTTTGCCTCTCTGCTGTCTGGTCCGAATTATCTACTAAGTAAACTGTAGTAGCTGCTTCTATTTGCCTTCTGATTTCAAACATCGTTAAAGATTATACGATAACGGTTCGAGGGTGATTAATTAACGAAGCACAGCCACTACATACTCACTAGTGGCAGGCTTCAGTATTTTTCAACTTAGCAGCTCGCTTATGGTCGAAACCCCGCCCTATCTAGACGATCTAAAGTAGTTGACCGGTCAGAAGTTGAATACTGCCACCAACTACGAATACTGAATCAGCCCTTCTGGAAGCATGTAAACCATTCAAACTGGCTTTCTACGACGTCCGAACACTTATGCAGATCGGACAACAGATAGGGTTGGCTATGTCTTTTAGAAAGTCTTAGTATCGATGTATGTTTTCTATTCAAGAACCGTATTCTAGACTCTACTCTGGTGAAGTATTACAAATTCGTTTTCCATCTGTCGCTTCAGAAAGCTTGTTTCACGTGAGTTTACCAGGGGACCCTGTGGTATCTTCCTCTGGTCTTGCTGGCAGTGGCGTCGCACTAAGCGCTAGAGCTGAGGTAGCACTAATCGGTTGGATCCCCATTAACAGTCGGTTATGTGCTGTTAGATTAGAAAGTTTCATTAAAGTGCAAAGAAATCGGTGTGAGAAATGATATTTACTTTTCAACAGATTACAGCCTGGACGAGTTTTACCACCAGTTAACTATTTTTCTACAACAAGTGTGTTTGGCAGATGTCTTAGTACTAGCCGGAGACTTGGATGCTCAGGTCGAGCGTCTAGACACAGAATAGTGGCCGATGGGGACTTGTTGGTCTCTTTCAGATAATGGTGACCATCTACTGCAACTGTGCGTAGACAGCGCACATATGTGATGAAACTACTGCCTAGTTTAAATGAGAACTAAATTAACGTATGGTGATAATGATTGTGACTGAAGTTTAATTAACTTTTAAACTATCGATTCTATGTTGAACCAGCTCGGTTTTCAACAATTCTTCATTTGACATTAGTTCATTATTGAATATTTTAAAAAAGCCATTTTAGTTAATTTTTATTAAACAAAATGAGACATAAATCTTCCGATATCTAATGATGTGACGTCATTTTTTAATCGATTAGTTCTTCAATTCTGTATAGATCTACTGCAACTAATCTGACTATATAAATTAACTTTTTTCTTCAAAAATTAGATTTGATGATTTGAAGAAAACTACTCAACAGCTAATTTTAGAATAAAATATTCATGGAATAAGTAACCCAGTCGTAGTTACTTCACAATCACTGAAACAAATAACACTTGTAGTATCAGTTACTATGTTAAGCTCATATATCTTATTCTAGCTTTCGGACAGCCCAATCTATTCATTCTACATGATTCACATTCTGCCATTGTGAATTATTCGTTTATCAATCTTGGCTGTTTTCATATGAGCTCATATGTGTGTGTACACTTCTTATCCTATTATTCATCATATGTCTGTAACCTACTCTTGTGTGACTATAAATATTGGTTAGTGCTTAACTAAAAGGGGGTTGGCTTACCCGCCAAACCCACTGCTCGTCATTTCGCTTCACTCTATTCCATTCGCTTCACATATAAAAATATATGTATTCAAAAGTCCATTCTCGTTATTTGACTTATTTAATTCCATTAATCACTCAACGCTTATTAAGTCGAACTGATAGGTCCTGGGTTTGAACCTCGCAAGGCGGGATCGTGGATGCTCACTGCTGATGAGCTTCACAATAGGACGAAATGGCCGTCCAGTGCTTCCAGGTTTTCCATGGTGGTCTAGCTTTAATTGACTCATGATCTTAACCATTGAAAAGTGTTTTAATCAATTCTATAAATAACTTAAAATATGCTTAAAAGGTTGTTAAAAGGTAACTTAAATTGTGAAACGATATAGAAATACTGTAAATTAACTGCTTAGTAATTATCTACTAAAAATATAAGAACGAACTAGTTAAAGATATGGTACTTCAGATTCAAATCCCACTTTTCTATTCTTTTTTAATAATAATCTTTTTGAGCATACTTAAAGTATCTACAAAAGACTAAAGAATACAAATTTATCAATAAATGATATACAATTATGAAGAATAATACTTTAACTTCAAAATCGATCAATAAATAAGTGATATATCCTGATCGTTTTTTCTTAAATGGTGGATTAATTATCTCAATATGCTGTCTGATCAAGATGGTGATATGTCGCATCGATTTTTTAGTATCATCCTTTTTTTTGTTGAAATCGTCAATCAATAATATGAAGCAATACCTAATAGTACATTATTGATTCTTATATATTGCATAAGTTTTCTGAACATTCTTCATTTACAAAACCATAATGATAACATAAAACTATCTGATATGGTTTGTATAAGATTGGAGATCTCTAATATGTAGAAAATATTGTAACTAACACTAATCAAATATTCAGAAAAAATAATGATGTATGTTGTTCTTAACCGATAAAATGTAGAAAGTAATTGAACATATACAAACCGATAACTAATACTGAGAAGTTAGTGGTTATTGGTCGGATAACTTGGATATAGAATTACTCTTTTTCATCCAACAATTATGGAACCTTAGTTTAAAACATTCTTATTTATAGATTTTGATTATATAATATGAAATTAGTTTAAACAGTGAGTGGTAACCGTTCAGGTTTGACTGATTAAGCTTAATCCATCCTTATGAATAAATGATATGTCATCCGTTATTATTCAGTTATTGACAACTTCACTGTTGCATCATGCAGAATTCTCAGCTTTACATGACATTTTTAAAAAATCTTAACCTAAGCTAAGCCTACCTTCCTAATTAGATGTTTAACAACCTTTCGAATTCGTTTCATATTTATGAATCATGTCTTATGCATATTCTAATCATGTTTATTTGTTTTACACTTTTGTTTAAAAGTAAGGGTAACTGTCAGCTGTTTCAGTGATTGATTCTAATGAAATAAACAAATCAGTACATTCAGATTTGTGAGACACTGTTACTAATGCAGTACCATATTATTTTAACAATTAGGTTTTCAGTAATAGAAATGCATTTAAAATATTTATTCTTCTGCTATTTAATTATCATCATGTATTTATTGTTATAATTCAATGAACTTTTGAAATACCAAGTTCCTGATATGTCAGTTCATGAAATGAAATGTTAGTGTTTCTTGAACTTGAGAAACATTCCATCAATTCATAATATGTCGGTTTAAAAAATATTTTATTATTAAAATTAAAAATTAAAAAACAAACCTTCCAAATATTCAATAATTACTTACTTACGTCTGTTACTCCCAGTGGAGCATAGGCCGCCGATCAGGGCCTTCATTTCTAGTTCTATCTAATTGTTGTTCATTCTTCTCATATCTGTCTCTATTTCTCGGCGTATATATTCTTTTGTTTTCCTCTTTGGCCTTGAGGATTCCATGTGAGGGCTTGTCTTCAATATATGTCCTATCCATTTCCAGCTCTTCTTCCAGATTTCTTCCTCCGATGTAATCTAGTTTGTTCTCTCACACAGTTATTATATACTTTGAAAATTTCTTTTCCTTCATTTTTCTAATTACTTTATTGCATTTAGACATTTTATCTGGAGTTTTCTATATTAATTACAAGTTTAAAGGATTGTTAAAACAAGTGATTAATTATTAAAGAGGAAGAATGTATTTGTAAAATCTCAGCGAACGAATTCGAAGTAAATCCAACATTTCACCTGACAATCTGGTTCAAGCTTTTTCAAGGAAAATATAATCAAACAACAAAGTTATCGAATATAAATAGGTACATGGTTCTCTGGTTTACTGTATACTGAATAAGTCATCCAATCAGCGTGAACAATGTTTAAAGTAGGTTGATTGGATGACTTATTCAGTATACAGTAAACCAGAGAACCATGTACCTATTTATATTCGATAACTTTGTTGTTTGATTATATTTTCCTTGAAAAAGCTTGAACCAGATTGTCAGGTGAAACGTTGGATTTATTTCAAATTCTTTCGCTGAGATTTTACAAATACATTCTTCCTCTTTAAACACTCACATTAACTCGGCGCCCAAATATTGTGAAACTATTCGTTCAAATTTAGACGAAAGTTCTTATTTAAGTGATTAATTATTAATGATTTGGTTTCAGACATTTCAAACAAGGATTTGACAAAAATATCACCATCAAATGACTCTGGCTTAACTACTGATGTCTCAGTATGTGATGTAACTTTTCAACTGTAAGTTTTAGTTTTTATCAGATAGTTCAGCATTTTTCAATGATAAAACTAGCTTTTCATAGAGTTTTGTTCTCTGAGCTGGATAGTTTGTTCGCGGTGCTAATTATATCGTTCAAAAGAACGATGAAAGCTCCACAATCAAATCATCCAATTTAGAGCACAAAACTTCATCAAAATCATCCACCGAAGCTAAAAATCTTTACCATCTCATAAAAGTAACTTTCTAAGCATTAGTAGTCACGATTTAATTGTTTAACTGCTTAGAAGTGAATTGAATAATTTATAAATTTAATATTAAATCCCTTAAATGTAATTGGTTGGTATTTTAGTATAGTTTTATTTAACCTTATAATAGTACCAAACCTATAATTACATTGTATGAAGAGACGATCTATGTCATATCAGATCAAATCAAATAGATTCATTTGAACTGATCAATTCCATAACTACTCATTATGACATTTTGAGTTGTTTCTATTCTTCGTTTTTGTATATTATTATTTTATCATTATTGATCAGTAATAAGGACTCATCGGATCGTTGTCAGTCAAACAATGAATTGAATGAGTTAGACAAATCAATTCTTCAGAAAACTGAAGTCTCAAATAAATTTATAAATTATATAACAAATACTATTGATAACACATTAAATCCAATGGATGATTCAAATACAGACAGGAGAAAAGTCACAATTAATGAACCATCAGATAAGCTAAGTCAAGATATTCAATTAAAAGCTGAACAAATTCTTACTGATTTACGTTCATTACCACTGAATTATTCTATAAAAAGAAAAAGAAAGCCTAATATGAAAACTTTAAGTTCAACTGCACTTAATAAAAATAAACATGAAGATGATGAAGTCGGAGATCTAGATGATAATGATGTAACTGCTCTATTATCTGATGGTGGAGATGATGATAGTAATGATGAATATAAGGTTAGTTGCCAAAATTTTACAATTTATTATGATGTTTAATGTACAATTGAAAGTTATTCATGTAATATGTATATTAATCTGAATATGCTTTTTTCATCAAAGGTTGATAAAGCTTCAGTTATTCAGGTATTTTTTCATTTACCTCTGACGGAGTAATGACAAGTTAAGGTAACTAAATACTAATAGTTCTGGTATCACTGGGTGAACTTCACTTTAAAAACTAAATAAACAAAATAGAATATCAATGAATTAATTTTGTGAGTTGATTTAGATCAATATTATGATCTCTTAATAATGCTACACCTATCACTCTTAACATGAGTTTTTGCGTCAGAATATTATTGTGGTGTAGCAATGTTCCGTAATTGATAAACATTCCTATCGATTTTATTGTCCTGTACAATAAAAAAACATACTGTAATGTTTATTTATTCAATTGTCTATTCTGGAGAAACTCTACCTGGAGTCCCTCCGGGGCTACCGCCGGTCCCAAGCCTGGATAAAGGAGGAGGGTTGGGCATGGGACCCTATCCCGTAGAAAACTAACTCGCTAAAAAAACGCTATTCTGGAGACATCAAAGCTCTCTTAAAAAGTTAGCCTCTTTTTACCAGAGTGCGGCTATCGTCCATAAGGTATAATTTTGCATTAATTATCGCACTTTCTAATCACGTTAGATATATTTATTTATAAGAAATGCCTTCCGTTATTTTTAATTCCATCTTAGCTATACAAATACAACCATTAGTAAACTTACCTAAAGTGTATTATTTTAAGGAATTCTTGATGTAGGTTGATATAAAGTTTGCGTAATAAACTAATTTAGTATATGAATAGTTGAAATTTAAATAGTTTTAACTTTTCACCTGGCATTCTGATCCTAGCTTATCCAAGAAGATAATAAAAGTTATCACTGACAAATTAGGTTAAAATTAATTCTTATTAAATCAAACGTTGAATATGACTCAAGAAAGGGATTTAACATAGATTTTTTATGACCTTTATGACTTTCGTTGATAATTTTGATAATTTCATTGGAGATTCTCTGACTAAAATGCCAGACGTAATGTCGGAACTTTTTAAATTTCAATCATTCAGTTATGTCATATATAAATTCACATTCAATATAAAAGAAAGTTCTTGTCTTCATCTTGGAACATATTCCACTAAAAAGACTGACGCGTTATTAACAGTGACATTGGTTGTCATCTGTCTGATATTGTACACAATGTTGTAAAATCGCTCAAAATAATATATACTTAAATGACTTCGAATTTACTATGTTACGCCTAGGCCATCACTATTAAAGTTAAAACCAAACCCATAATTCAATAGGACATAGTTGTAAATTTCTCACTATCCTAGTAACCTTTATTTTTCAGTATCTAGTTACGTAGTATTTTGTTTCATAATCTCAACAACAAATTGCTTTCTTTCAATCTGGGGTCACTTTTGAGCTTTACTTATTTCTCCGATGATCTATTCAATTTTATGGTCGTTATTATATAAGTTAACACCAATTCTCAGTTTCTAGAAACATATTTCCATGCATTTTAAAACTTTTCTTTTAGAATTTTCAAATTTAGTAACATAGATATTCATTAGGAAAAATCGAGACGTTTCAGAGAAGAAAATTTTCTTTTCAACCATATCATTTGCTGAAACTGTACAGTCATATTTTTAGGAAATTTTTCACATATATTCTATAGTAAAATAGAGGGGTCAGACTTATTCAAATGGAAGTCAATCAAAATGAAGTAGACCAGAACTCTTAACTGTTTTTTTTAACAAGAAGCTATTTCACAGAAGTGTCAAGGATTGTACAGCCAGTGTAATCTGCTCCACAACAGCGGGCACGTTAACTGGAAAATGCACATTGAGGTGGGTCAAAGCGGCAGTTTATACGATTATACAGCTTTAGAAAATAATGTCATTGAGAAGAGAATTTTCTTCGCTGATACGTTTTTCATTCATCCACTTTATTAACTTTTTTTAATTCTTCCATAACTGTAATCGTTTCTTTCACCAGTCTTAGATCACATGTTATTTACATTAGTTATAAACAATTATAACTGCTTCATTTGTATTTGTTATTTGAATATTCCCATTGATGTTGAGGACTACAATTTATCAATCATTTTTAGTATATATGAATCATGTAAAGGTTGACTTGATACCACCATTAAGTCACAAGTATTATAAGCAGATATAGATGTTGGCTAGCAGTAGAATCTAAAACCGGCATTTCATCCCATATGGACCTTATTACCTAGAGATACTTACTGGTCACCATTCATCATTGCTTTTAATTACTATTAATGTTTCTAGATTGTAAGAAGTTGAATAGAAGACAATCTTTGTTACTATTTTAGTTTAATACTATTTTATTCAATACTGAGTATTTAGTGAACCAAATAATCTAGAATAAAATCTAGTTGTGGACCGTTTTTTTTTTTTTTTTATAAGAAAACTTCCTAATTGCCAAGACCTACGATTTACCCTCTATTCTGGAATATAATAATAATAATAGATCAATATTTTATTCTATAAAACATATTTTAGGAAACATCACAACTGTTAAATGATGATAATCAAATGAAATCACCGAATAGAATTAGTTCCAAGAAGTTTGAAAATATACAACATAAATCTAATTTATTAAATATACGTTGTGATATGTTACAAAAATATATTCATTATTTAGAAGCACGTAAATGTTCATTAGAACATTCTATTATAGAATTAAATCAATATTTTGAAAGAAATCAACAACAACAACAACGACAACAACAACAAAATAAAATAAAGGAAAGTGAATGTAAAATAGATTCACAACAATTCGAAGAAATACTTACAAATCAAGTAAATTAGAAATTTGTATAAATATAATTTATGTATATGTGTGTGTATGTGCAAATTATGCAATGAGTTGTACTGAAAAGTATACAGGTAATTTGTTCAGTCTTCTCATATCTGTCTCCATTTCTTGGTGTAATGTGTTCTTTAGTCTTCCTCTTCTCATTTGGCCTTGAGGATTCCATGTGAGAGCTTGTCTTGTGACGCAGTTGGGTGGTTTCCTCAATATGTGTCCTATCCACTTCCAGCGCTTCTTCCTGATTTCTTCCACTTTTGTAATCTGGTTTGCTCTCTCCCACAGTAGGTTGTTGGTGGTAGTGTCTAGCCAACGGATTTGAAGTATTTTGCGTAGACAACTATTAATCAACACTTGTATGTTCTGGATAATGGCTTTCATAGTTAGCCATGTTTCCGCCCCATATAGTAGAACTGTCTTAATATTTGTATTGAAGATTCTGACGTTGGTGTTGGTTGACAGGCGTTTTGAGTTCCATGTGTTCTTAAACTGTAGGGATGATGTCTTTGCTTTAACAATCCTCTCCTTTATGTCTGAATCAGACCCTCCTTCTTCATAGATGATGCTGTCCAGGTACTCGAAAGATTCTACCTCTTCCAGTGCTTCTCCATCAGGGTAAAATCTTGATTTTAAGGAGTTTTACTAACTAATTTGCAATTGCACTACACAGTGCCAAACTTTTTGGTTATGCAGTTAAATACAACGGGTAAAAAGCTGTAAACAGAAATTTTGTGCCGGTTGCAGTTTATCAGTAATGGGTATCTACAATCACTAGGGAACTGATGTCTTCCTTTCGAAACTAGAATCCATGTCACCCTACTTAATAAGTATTGATTGAAGAGTGGCGTTGATTTTTTGATGTCAGAACAAGGATTAACTCATTACTACTAACATGAAAAATTCAAGGACCGAGTATTAGTTGATAGTTTAGAGACATTTGTTCGTAAATGACAGCTTTATTATATTGTCAATAATCCAACTATTTTATATTTGATCAAAGTTGTGTTCACTAAGTTAGATCGTTTGGCCTCAAAGTTTTCATTATCTGTTTGGACACCATCAGCACATACTTCGAAAAGAGACGAGTTATTTGAATTTCTCTAAATTTGACTAACAACTAGTCTGTTAGTCAAGAATTCTGATGGTTGTTATTTATAATTGTGTGGTCATTGTTTGCATTTTTCCTCCTCTGCTCATGAAGTTCTTAATCCTTTTTCTTACTGACTGATAGATTGGGTCGATTTTGATGTGTCTAATGGTTGATGTTTGGTGAAAATGCTAGGCTTCACAAATAAGCCACTCATTTAAGAGAAAATAATACTTCCAACATTTTTAACCTACGAATATCATTCATCATCTCATTTTCTAGTATGAACCTAAACATTTATAGACAAATATGTCTTGTTTCTGTGGACAGATAACTTTTCTTTTGCCTCAGTGATGAATTCTTTGGTGTTTTTATCTTATGAAATGGTTATTCATCTGTTAACTAAAAAATAAAAAATGTTAGTATGAATTACATGCTGTAATTAAATTGAATGTAGCAAGTACTTCACATAATATTAAGTCAAATATCATTATATTTGCCTTTCATTTAGGTTTTAAAAAACAACTCATTTTACTTCATTTGATACCCACGGTTGTAAGATAATATCATGTTAACATCGAAGTAACCAACCAGCGCTGAAAAGATCTTATATTAACACTAATAAAGATTGTTTAGCTAAATGTAATCTGAATTTTATGTTTGATTATCCTACGTAACTTGGTATATTCTCTATGTACAAGTTGAATTATATGAGGATGTTACAATTTCTTCACTAGTCTAAGACATTTATTAAATGTTACTCTAGTTTTCATTATCTCCTTAGCTGACATTATGTTTTAAAGGTTAAAATCAATTTTACAGTAATAGCGCAACTCCGTGAATTGGTTGAAGTTAGACATTTACACTATTAGATGTCGGCTTAGTGGTTTAGAGGTTAAGCGATCACCCGCGAGACTAATAGGTCCTGGGTACAAATCTCGCGAGGCAGGATCGTAGATATGCACTGCTGAGGAGTCTTACAATAGAACGAGACGGTCATCAAGTGCTTCCAGGTTTTCCATGGTGATCTATCTTCAACTGGATCATGAAGTCAACTATTAAATTACTATTTATTTACTCTTTTTATCTTTGTATCAAATTTCAACCTTTTTTAGAATAGATTTTTAATTGAATAATATATTTTTATTTAATTTTAATTTAATATTTTATTTCAATTAGAGTATTGCATTAATTAGAGAAAAAGAACAATCTACACAATATCGATTAAAATATGAATCAGTTGAAGCTGCACGTTTTGAATTAAGTCAACAACTTCAATTAACTTCATCTGAATATGATGCAGATAAGAGATTTTATCAAAAACAAATTAAACAATTAGAAGAAGTAAGTTTCAAATGAATTGATATAAGAATGAAGTATATGGAATAATAATATTAAATAATTATCATTTCATTGTATTAATGAAATATGATATCTGGTTAGATTATAATGTACCGACTATTCACAACCTACTTATATATAATAATTCTTTAGCAGTGCGCATCCACGAAAGCCACACGTGGGACTCGAACCCAGGACCTTCAGCCTCAAGTGCGGAAGCTTAAGCTCTAGACCACTGAGCTGGCGTCCAATGGTTTTAATAGTTTACTTCAACCGAAGTACGATTTTATTATTATTATTGGCTTTATTCTATATTATATTTCTGGTACAATGTAGGATTCTCAGCACAAAGAGTGATCGCCAGTTAGATAATAGCAGTTCAGGAATCGATATTTGAATTATGTACATTTTTTTCGATGCATATTGCTAGCATCCGCGGTGTGCCTGATTAGGCCCTACTGTAACTTGTACCGCGAAATATCGTAAACTTGTCACAAACGCTTCTGAATAGATTATGCGACTAATGGGCGTAATGATGTGTTAAAACAAACAAGAAAACAGATAATTTGTTAAAATATCCAGATGGTAGGAACAAGTAGCCCAGATATTCAAACAGGCCGCCTAAAATTCAATGCTGCGCGACCGTCCACCATTGTCTTTATTGAATAACTGCCTCACAACAGACACGGCCATCCAGTGCTTCCGGGTTTTCAATGGTTGTCTAGCACTCATTAATTCATGATATCAACCTAAACTCAACAATCTCCACAACGCTATACTGATAATAATTCTTGTTTATAAACATTTGTATCTATTCGAAAGTAGTTAAAGATGTACATGATAGTTTAAACTCTGTATAAAGTATCTAAAAATCAGACATAAAAAAGACAGGAATACAAATAGAATGAAATGACTAGAATAGCTAAAATAACAATTCCCTCATAGAATTGATTGGAAATCTCAAACAAAATGAATTGTAAAGAAGGAACAACTAATTACTGAGAGTACAGATCAATTTAAACTGGACAATCATTGAAAACCAGGAAACGCTAGTTAGATATTTCATTCTAGTATTGAACTTCCCAGCAGTATCCATTCACAACTCCACTGAAGATCGAATCCAGGACCTTCAGGTCTCGTGACAGTAGCCTTACCTTTAGACCACCGAGCCGCTACCCAATGATTTATATACCTAAATTCAATCCTGTAACAAAATTAATCTTAATTACATTTAACACTCTACATAAACTACAATACTGAAAACTACTAGTTATTTCGTTGTGAACAGATTATGGGATCGAGACATATCGTTTATAGTCAATATGTTCAAATAAGACGGTATAATAGGCCCCATAATTAATGATTAACAAAGTAAGTGAATTGGGATTAGAAAACAACCAATACTTCTCCATTCTTTCCTACTATATTAACAAATATGTTTTACCTTAATAGCATCAATGTAATATTTATGGTTTAGTAACTAATTTACCAATCGGTTCTTATCAGTTTCGAAAAAATATAGAAATTCTAATAGTTACTGCATAACTAACTAGGAACAGTAGAAATTTAGTATTATCATTATTGTAATGAATAAAAAGTCATATTTATAAATATTTATATCGTGGGTGCGTGCCGCTGAGGAGTCTAACAATAGAATGAAACGGCTATTCAGTGCTTCCAAGTTCTCCATGGTGGTCTAGCTTTATTCGACTCATGATCTCGACCATTCAAATTAATATAATATCGACAAAACATATGCTCACTAGTGACTGACCTCAAGAGGCTTTTCCTGGAGTTCTAGTTACAAAAAGTGACCAGTGAAGTTCAACCAGGTCTGTGTGAGATAGTAACTCACTGATGAAAGTGGTAGATGTGTCGCTCGAATTCGTGGATCAGTTGAAGTTAGACACCATTTGACACCGACTCAGTGGTCTAGTGGTTAAGTGCTCGCACGCGTCATCGATAGGTCCTGGGTTCGAGTCCCGTTTGGCGTGATCTTGGATGAGCACTGCTGAGGAGTCCTGCAATAGGACGAAACGGCCACCCAGTGCTTTCAGGTTTTCCATAGTGATTTAGCTTTAATCGAATGATGATCTCAACCATTGAAATTACTTTTATATCCACAAAAACCCTTCTGATATGAAATATTTATATATTGGATTATAGGAAATTCAAGAACGTATCAATAAAGCGAATGATATTAAATATGTTAATGAACAATTACAAAGTGAAATACTAAATTTTAAAAGTCAAATAAATTCCCTTAAAGAGGAATTAAAACAAAAAGAATATGAAATGAATATGATTGGTCAGTGTTATGATCAGAAAATCAAGGTAAGTTTTATTTTGTCACTAGTATTAATGAAATCAATTGAGATTTCTGAACAGCTAACTTTTCTAACTGGTGATCACTCAATATTTAACGCATGAACTGATCAAGAAAGAAGAAAAGGCAACTTGTTGAGATACCCAGTGATTAGAATTCTATATTGTACCGAAAAATATAATATTGAATAAAGCCATTAATGATAATAATAAATGAAATAACTGTTCTTAGTTAATCACTAAGCAACTTTCTTAGATGGAAAGTTTATTGGAAAGAAAATGGTAATACTGTAGATTGTAAAACAAATTTTACAAAACACATTTTGGTTTACAAGTTACTCTCATAGTAAATTGAGAAAAACAACAACAGATAAACTTGTCTTAATAGACAAAAATTGTCTATCTTCTCAATCCCTATGATGAATTAATACAGATTTTAAGAGTCTTCATACAGTTCTTGATTAGCGTTAGATAATTACGGTAAGGATTAGGAGTTAAGGTTAATATCACGAATTAATATTAGCTATAGATGTATACATGTTGGACAGAAATACTGTCAGATTAGTTATTCCGTAAAATATAGTCCCACTAGGTTAAAGTTTGTTCCTGAATTAAGGGCCTATGGTTAAGATTTAGGGATATTGCTGATTGACTTGTTATATACAATCTAAAGAGACAGAATTGGCATTTTATACGTTTGACATTATTATTTTTGCTCTATGCTTCCAAAAAGTAATTTTTTACTATCATTTTAAACGTTTTGAGCGGTATTTCTCACAGGTAGATTAGTGCTACATCAGTAATCAAAGTTCAACTATGTTAGCCGTAAGGGTTGTAGTTACTTAATATACCTAATCGATTAAAATTAAAAATATAAACCAATAAATTCCAATTCAATGGTTTAAAGGTTGAGAGCTCTCTACAAGATTTATAGATCTTATATATGGTCTTTAATGGGAGCGGATAGGGTTGTAGAAATGTATTAAATTAGTTTAAAATTTCCCAATTTACACTATGTATGTAATTCTTCTAAAACTAAACAAACTCATATTAGCATTTCCGTTTGCTTGTTTTTTTTTGTGTTTTTTTCCTATTTACTGTTATTCAAATACAAAAGTAACCAACCATTGAATATTTATATTGTGTTTTTTATTAATGTAAATTAAATTAACAATTTGGTTACATGGAGGGTAAAATAAACAAAAAAAAATAAAAGAGCAGATTAAAATATGTAAATGTAGAATATAAAAGGAACAATTATACAGAGTTACATGTATATTGTTTTTTCCAGTGAAATGCATATTTTAATAGTATAGAATAACAATATAGATAAATTATGCGTTACTATGGTATTTTGAAGAATCTAAGGTCAATGTATACATATGACATGTAATCTTTAAAGTGATAAAAAAAATGGAAAGTATTAACATTACTTTAATCAAAATAAGATCATTAGAAAGTATTTAAAAGCCATTATGAAAATTAATTTCGATATTTTATTGTATATAATAATTTTATTCAAGTCCAAGAGTGAATATCAACTCTGAGATGTAGGCAAATCCAGCTGACATGTCCCGAATAGGACGAAACGCGCGTCTTGGATCTGAAATCATCTTTAAGAAGTGATTTATCATTTAGTAAATGATAATTGAAACTCATTGCTAACATCTACCAGGAAGCACGAAACGTTTACTCAAAACCTCCTGTCAATTAATTCGACTAAGTAACATAAGACATACTAATTTCTATCATCAAGTCATTTAGCCTTGTAACCAAATTGCAATTATAACTGAAGAAATCAATCCACATTAGTAACATTCATGTATATAAGATATATTTAATGTGGGTTAGATGACTAAGGGTAGTTTACAGGGAACCTTAGATTTTGATCCCGGGTTATTTGGCACTCGTCAGCTCGTCGGTTTATTTACCGACTTTAGTCTCTGGTTTTTAAAACAAAAGAAATCTTAAGTAAAATGCTGATTATATGATTTTTATAAACTTCCAATGAAATAGCACATTTTAATTCTATTCTGGATATCCAGTAATCTTAAATTTCGAGAGTTGCCAACTGAATGTACTTATATTTCAGTGCAAGTGCACACATTAAAATTGGGACCTAACACATCATTGCTTTATTCAGTCAATCATTGAGCCACAATGACCATTTACTTGTTCGATGAGTATCATATTTATAATCACTTCTATGGTTTTATCATTTCCCATTGCTAGTACTCAGGACGAGATAAATATAACGTCTGTTAGGACCTGGATTCCATGATTGGATACCACAATGTTACTTGTAGCTATAAGTCGATTATATTTTCGGAAATACTTCACTAACTACTTTTTTCAATAACATGTTGTTAGATTCACAAGTGTTTTGTACTAAGATAGAAACTTAAATCTTTCTTATTTTTCCATAAAAGTCTAAAACGATTTAATAGCGAAAGGAATGAACTATGAAAATTAATTGTTCTATTTAATCAAATGTACATTATTTACTGAATGAACAAGCGGAATAATAGACGAATTTAGTTCACAGAAGATCAATACCTATATATTTGACTGTAATGTCACTCGAGCAGCTCACTCACTCCAGACATCTCTGAAAGATTCACTGATCAAACTTGCATTATTTCAAATACTAATAATTTAGATCATGAATTGATGTCAGTTAGTTGTATCTGTTCATTTCTGAGAAAACCTATGCTAAGGCAAAAACAGCAGTTAGGGTTTCTTGGTTTTCTAAGGTCACTTTTTATGTAAATTGTTTACAGTTCCAATAATCATCACAAATGAGAACACACGTGGTGACAACCAATTACGTGATAACACAAAATTACAGAGTTACTTGGTAAAATAAAAAACATACTCCAGTACTTCGTTTGCAAAATGTTCATTAATTGTCTCGAACTTCATTGCTCCTGCATTTCCATACCAATTGCTTTCTGTTTCCGTTCTTTCCTTTTATATATTTTCAACTTTCTGCTGCCAGGCATCCTGTTATTTACTACTTATGTCAACATAAGTAGCACACACCACACCGACACTAATTTTTCGAATACGATTTCTTTTATCAGGAAGAAAATGAACAACATGAGTTAGAAATTTTAAAATTACAAAGAGAAATAACCGACCTATCAGACAGAACTTCGAAAGCATCTACAAAATCTGAATATGAAATTGATACATTAAATACACATTTAAGAATAAGTCAAAATAAAATTCATGATTTATTATGTGAAAAAGAATATCTCTGGTAAGTAACTAAGTCCCATCTTCATACTATTTTTCAAAACTCTTTAATACTGAATTATCAGTTTGATTTTGTTTGGCATAGTATACTGGGTTATATTGATCAATGATTGAGTATACTGAGCGGCAGTTCGTTCCGTTTTACTTTATGAATGCAAAACGTGGTCATTGAGAGTTGAAGTTACTCGTAAGCTACTAGTATTTGATCACAGATACCTTAGAAATATTGCCAGCATCTGCTGGGACCATCGTATAAGTAATAGCGAGGTTAGACTCGGGGTATTAGGGAATGATGGTAAATCAATTGATGAGGTTGTAAATCTTGATCAACTGAGATGGTTGGGCCACGTCTTACGTATGCCTGGACACTGATTACCAAGACGCGCAATGCTAACCGCTGTTGAGGATGGTTGGAAGAAAGTTAGGGGCAGCCGAACCAAAACGTGGCACCAGTGCTTGAAGTGACTGACGTCTAATCTGAGTCATGTTGGTAGATGTAGACTACTTGGTTGGGGTCCGCATGACTATTGTAACTAATGGTTGGAGACTCTTGGTGACATGGCTCAGAATCGATCACAATGGTGTAGGTGTATACATTCTTTGACTCCCTTCAAACTAAGAGATTAAAATCGCTTCATATCTTTCTACGTACTAATTATTTCTTCCTGTACTATGTTCTTATATGCAATGTTTCTTTTATATATTACCACCCCTGAGTTAACTACTTCTATGAATTTGATGTTGATCTTGCTGTGTTAATGCGGTATGGCAGCTTGAACCGATGTATATATGTGCCTGGTCCTACGTTGTAGCTGACTGACTGGTCGAATTCGGTTACTGAATTAGAAGCTTTAGAACTACAGGATGCTTCATTTGTTTCTTGGAGTGATTTGAAGAATTTGACGAAAGAGAAAAATGTAACTGATATTGGTTAAATTAAAATTAAAATCAAGTATTGACAAACTTCTAAGGGATTATTTTATTTTGAACTTTTAAGGGAAATTTTTATAACTTGTGGGTGGTTTTTTGTTATAGATTTAATGTCTTCTGGTGAGGAATCAATCTTTCGATCTTATGAGATCATTCTATACTAGCTCAAATTTGATTAAAGTTTGTAAAATATAGTTACATTTTAACTGACAACTGAACATTTATCAGAAGACATTTATAACAGATTGAATATAGTATCAAATAAACGTAAGTCACTTTCATATAGAAGACGATGGTCACTGAGATAACTAGTTACTTCTTGAAGGTACAAATTAGTATAATCTTGTTTCTGTCAACTAAACAGAGCTTTCTAGGCACTTTCAAGTGAAACAAATGTATCTCATAAATCTTTATTCATCATTCACTTACCGTGAGTACAATCTAGCAAGGTTATTGTGGTGCATGATACTTATACTGACAGATATAAGTAGTATGTAGCAACAATCAGAAGGAAAATTCTTGCCAGAAGATTGAGATGAAGAGAACAGGAAGGAAATCGGACAGTAATCATAATAACAGCAGAATTAGAAGAATTTTGAACTGTGTAAAGGACTACTGAAGGAAGATATAACATTACCTGAGTTAATAAATTGTTTACTCCACCTGAGTTCTCGTTTACAACACAATTATAAATAATTTTTATGCTGATAGACATATATTTAGCAGTTCTCATACTTTCCACAATGAATTCAGTTACAAAAGATTAGATACCCATACAGATCTACTATTGATTTCATTTATTTGTGTATTTATTTTTCAGTAAACAACTTCAAGATATTACTCACAAATTAAATATTAGTAGTCAAGAAAAAGAAGAACTACAAAAAAAATGGATAGTGAGTTATTGAAAACAAAACAGGAAGAAGGTGATTATTTCATAATTATTTGAATCATTGTCATTACTTTATTTTGAATGTAACAATTTGTGATATCAGCTTAAAAAGTCACAATATTAGACAACTTTTCAATCTAGTATAAAACACTTACCGTCGGAGAATCTTATGATTAAGATGAAACAGCTTTTGGGGAATTGCCTTTATCGGTAGTTGAGTGAGAAGTCAAAGTTGATCTAGGAATTTAATTTGTAGTTTTACTAGACATTTCGAACAATCTGGTCATATATACATTTGGTAGTCACACGATCAAACTTAATGTAAGTGACCAATTGTTTCAAATATTACTCCTTTTTTAGTGGTCTCTTTTTAACTGCTATCATATCACAATGAAAACAATGCTCAATTTATTTAAAGTGCTTAACAGTCAACATAGAGTTTATTTTCCACTTGAATTAGGACAAATTAGTGTGCAAATATCAAGATCTGAATAGGTTACAGTGAAGATTTCCAACTAACGTGTATTCTTTTAGTGATGTTGAGTTCTTTTAGCTAGATGCTTTAACTGCAGCGCTTTCACTGTCGTTTCGAACAACATCATCAACGTCAGTTTCATGTATACATGAAGTTTTCAGCTATTCTATGAGCATTAAATTAGTTCGTTCTGGTAGCCTCATTTGCAATTAGAAATCTTCATTGCTTCTTATATTCAAATTGACAGTCTCGTTCAACTGATCTGTGATCATTTGATTAATTGACTTTTTTTGGGTATTTTTTGACAGGTCAGATTTATGTTGATATATCTATTGATAAACACACATTTTTTAATGGTTTACGGGATCAGACAATGTGTTTGTAGAAAATTTCCAATAAGCCAATATATCTTTACACAATTTTCTTAACATTTACACTTAAATAAACCTTTGACTATTGTGCTTTACTATCATTACAGATTATCAGAATATTTGCAGATAATTTCGTTTAAAAGATCTTTAAGTAGAATTACTTGGATGATTCTCGATAAACTTAGACATTTTGATTGACAAGAAATTAATAATTTTCATAGTTGAAATCATGAGTCAATTGAAGCTAGATCAACATGGAAAAACTGGAAGCACTGGACGGCCGTTTCATCCTAGTATGGGACTCCTCAGTAGTGAGAATCAGCGATCCCGCCCCCTGCGAGATTCTAGCGAGGTCTAGCTTCAATTGACTTATGATTTCAACTATTTAAACTACTAAAATCTTCACAAAACCCCTTCTGATAAGAAATTAACACCAAAATACATTTTAACAGATTAGATACAGATTACTATGAAAAGCTATAAAATTCCATGGTATCCAATAAATTTATCAGTAAAGTCATTATGTCAATAAATAAACTTGTTTATAGTTCATTCACTGGCAAAAATATCGATTATTATTGTGTGAAATGCTTTTTACAGTTAAGTGATAATCTCATTAGTGGGAACTATGGTAACGAAATCAACGAATATTGATTATAATTGTGAATGCGAATGCACAAATTAGTGTACAAACTCACAAACAAAAGTATATATTTATGTTATATTTATTTGAATAGTTAGTTTATAGTTATGAATGTAATAGTGATATCTAAGGTAAACAAAAATGTTTTCAAAAGTTAGTTGTCAAACGATTCATTATTTTATGCAATAAATTCAATTTATTTGATCACCTGATTTTTATGAGTCACTGATTGTCCTTTGAGTTTTTTTCAGCTGAAAATTTCCAAAATTAATGAAATACTACTAGTATTCAATTTTACTTCATGTTGAAAGTGTTCAGTAATATATAGTTAGGATTTTTTTAGCCGGTTATTCTGTGATGTGTGCTACTGATATTGGCAGATATAAGTAGTATGTATCATCAATTGAAAATGAAATACCTAGTGGTAGAAGGTTAAGAAGATTAAATAAAAAAGAGAACAAGAACAAGAAATGATTGTTGTGGAAACAAAAGAACATTGAAGTCTGAGATGATTGATTGACATTTTGTAAATGAAGTATTTACTGTATGGTTCTCAGATTTCACTAAGATGTTCTATAATTTTGTGTTCAGATACATCCGATTATCCCCAATTGTGTTCTGGTTCACTACATTACAGTAAAATCAACTTTAGGTTTACAAGGGCCAAGTTCAAACATTTAGCAGGTCATTTTCATAGTTTTAGTTGCATTAGAATTTCGATCTAAACGACAAATATACTTTTCAATAAATTCCTATTAAATTTCGATCGTTACGACTTGATATTAAAACGGATTAGCTTGGTTTACGGACATGAGATTACCCATCCATTTCAATAGCTGTGCGGTATTTAATAATTGGGAGCATTTTTCTATGCATTTCATAAGTGAGTGTTGAATGTAAGAGTAAAATTCCTACTGGAGATTTCATTTCAAGTCGTGAACTTTCCCTTGATTTGTGTTTTTTCATCCAGCTTGTTGAGGTTTCTACACTGACAAGTTCCTACGAGACAGAAATGAATAGCTTCAGACGGTTGAAATGAGATGTCCAGCGAAATAAACCACTTCACTTTCTTATCTCTCAATTATTTCATAAAGTTTTCATGCATTACATAATCTTCGGCCAAAAATTTGATCTAGTTAGTTACATCACTTCTTTCCCCTTACGACACTCATAATGCGGCTGGCTTACAAACTCATTCTTGTGAATAATAATATAATGGTCATTCCAACATATATCGAGGCTAATGAGTTTATCTCAGACCGAAAAATTGAGTTATATGTAGAATCTAAAATTGAAACAAAGTATTTATCTATGATATATATTAATAATGACAACCTAAGCAATGCATTTTACGCACAATAGTTCATGAGATTTCCAAGGAGTTCACACAATCAGGAAACAAACTCTTCTTCAAATAGTTATAAAGAAATAACTTATAAGAAACATACGATGACTAAGTAACAGTCAGTATCTATGTCAAATTCAACTGTAGCAAGCAACAGAATAAAATGAGAACTATGCATTTTGAATATGGAAATTGTTAAACTTAACTAAATATTCAGTGAATATGCAAAAGAATAATTATGATATGTTAATAATATGAGGAAATACTGTTACGAGAATATACGAATTGAAAGTCACAGATTATGTAAATACTTAGAAACATCACAATACAATAAAATCAATGTTTCCGAAATGATTGATAATCTTCAGTTACTGAATTTCAATAAGTAATATAGTATAATACACAAAAACGAAACCGAACAAAAGTGAAACTGGTGCAATCTTCTTCAAGGAAGTAGTCGATTATTTCAGATAAAATTGAACATATTTAATTGATTAATTTCCTAGAGAAACTCGGAATAGTTTGCCTGGTGAAACATTGAAATTGTTTAAATTTCAATCCCCGACATAATTTCCATATTCCCAAGACCTAATTCCTACAAAAATGTTCTTATAAATTAATATCAGTGATAGAATTTTACCTTCCATGATGTTTTACAAAAATTATCGTTTCGTAACGTTCATCTATGAGTACAGAATAGGCTGAAAGTTTTACCGTAGTATAAATTAACCTTCATCGGTTTTGATTCTTCTACACATTTTGATATGACACCCTATCCTTCAACTAATCACTTCAATTATAGATTTACACTTAAAAGTTTGATTAACATTTAAATGTGTAATACGTTTTTTTCAATTCATATAGGAAAGTGAATTCATGGAAATTCAAACAAATTTAAAAGATCATAAAAGTAAACTAAATGAAATCCAACTAAAATATGATACAGATATTGAAACATTGAAGAGGAATCATGAAGTAGAAATTGAAAAATTAAAAATCGATTTGAAAGTTAGTCGAATAGTTATTATTTTCATTTAATTATATTGTGTATTGATTATTTGAATTCTGTTGTAAGATAGTAACTCACTGATGACAATGGTGGAAGGTGGCGCAATTTCGTGGACCAGTTGAAGTTAGACATTAACATCGTTGAATGCCGGTCAGCTCAGTGGTTTAGAGGTTAGGTGTTTGCGCGCGAGATCGACAGGTCCTGAGTTCGAATCTGGGAAGGTGGGATTATGGATGCGTACTGATGAGGAGTGTTATACTAGGACGAAACGGCATTCAGTGCTTGCAGGTATTCCATGGTGGTCTAGCTTCAATTGACTCATGAATTCAACTATTAAATTAATATAATATCCACAAAACTCTTCTGTGATCATAACAAGACAATTGTCAACGAGAACTAATCAAAATCACGATCTCATGTGGGGAAATTCAAATAACTCACTTCAATCTGAACTGTGTATTGCTGACATTGCTTAAAAAGATGGTTATAGTTTCTTTATACTTCATACACTTATTTATTTCTGTACACATGAATTGATGGTAACGACTTAACATTTTTCAGAATTGTTTATCATGTTAAAGTTTTCTAGGCCTTAATTAAATTGTAGTTTAATAGTTGAGATTCCGCGGGGCGGGATCGTGGATGTTCACTGCTGAAGAGTCGCACAATAAGACAAAATGGCCGTTCGATGCTTCCAAGTTTTCCATGGTGGTCTAGCTTCAATTGACTAGTGATCTCAACTATTGAAATTACTATAATATCCACAAAAACCCCTTTCTGATATTAAACTGTAATTTTTTGATTAATTAACTGTTTAGTAATTAAGAATTGGTTTGCTTTATATGGGTAATTTTGCAGTTAGTGTGTGCAACTTTGTATATTTAACCAGTTTGTCTAATCAGATTGACAGACATCATCAAAATGGATAAATTTTATTTGTAAGTAAATTCTTAAGCACAAAGAATAGTTTAGAACGAGGTTCTGTTATTAGTTTTACTTAAGGGTTTAGGTAATCTTTAGATATACATTATTCAATATACTGTAGGATACATGTAAATGAGTATTTTCTGAAATGATTGTATTAACAATGCTTTATTTTTAATTCCTTATTGGATTTTATGCTTAATAAATAGGGTAATGAATCTTTGAACAATCAACTTAAGTGTTATATCAATACATTGGAAAATTGTATTTATAATTCAACACAACAGAAACAATTCTGTAATCAACAAATACAAACTGATTATGCTTAAAACCAATAGAATCAAATGAAGAGAGTCAAAAATCAAACAATTTAAAAGATATTTCTTCTGAGCCTAAGTTCCCGTCGACTAACATCCCGATTGTTAATATGAATAGCAATTCGAATTTGAAATACTTAACGAGTGTTAATAAATCTACAGAGACTAGTCCTGCATATTTAGATGTAAGTTACATGTTTATTTAATAAGTTATACTGTTAAAAATTGTACATATTTTAATGTTGTATTCGGTCGTCTGAGCTCAAAGGTTTAAGTTCAAAGCATTCGTGGTCGTTCCGGTCAACATCATCAGCATTTCACAGAGGACAAACAATACAATCAAAAAACATCCATATGATCTATAAATCATCTCTATGATCCATATTTATTGTATTTATTAAAATATTCACTTGTAGATAGATTTTTAAACAAAATGATGGCTCAGGTGAATTCTTTCAGTAGTGTTATGTCCTTTGAGAAAGATGGATTGATATCTAGGTTTTCATTATCATCCTGCCCAACATTTTCTGTGTCTAATTCATGTAAAAATGAGCTTTCTAGTTATTTCACGAGTATTACATAAGTTCATTCTGATGACCTTATTTGTAGTCGGCCTCCTACATAGATTTTATTGTCCTTATTCATCAATCTACTGACGCTGACTATCTTTGTTGGTCGAACTCTAGCCTTGGATTGGAGAAACTCTAAGAATGTTATGAGATTTCTAGTAGGTTGGCATTTAGAATAGTTAGCAATCCATAGATACAAAGACGTAGATTCAATCTATGAACCTTTACGGAAGAGGCTTATCAGTCACAAGGACAGAGATTGACCAACAAAGACAATCAACGAGAACACAAGTACAAATAAAGTAACAAAACCTACAAATACAGCCGATTACAAAAAATGTTATCAGAATAAACTAATACAACACCTATGGAACGACCAGAAAGCTCACTTCTATATTTAGTAGGCACTGAAAATGTCAGGCGGAACGATAATGCAACACCATCAGACCAGATCACTGTCAAGTAATGTTAAATTTGAAAATGTACTAATGTAAGTTCATGAGTAGTTAGTAATACAAGGAACTGGAAGAAAAAGTGGTGTAATATTTAAAGTAAAAGAATCTTTCTTTCATAATGTATTGATTTACAGTCACATATAAATACTAGTGATAATCATTTCTCTTATATAATTAAATCATATTCATTATTTACCACTAGCAAGCTTTTGTTCACGTAAACTGAAAGAACCGACTATGTACGTCAGACAAATAACATTTGGCTGGTTATTTTTTCTTGAAATAGTTTTCGCTTCTGGTTTGAAGGTTATTACTTGTTCTAAACAATGGTTGGCAATCATATCTATAATATGCATTTCTTACCTACGATACATCATTGCTAAGCTAATACATAAATTAGTTTATAAAAAAGACTATAGTCATTTTTATTTTTAGAATATAACATTTATTCAATCCTAATTGTTATATACAACGACGCGAGTCAAAATCAAGCGAAGATATTACCTTATTTTCTAATCAATCTTGAACAGCTAAAAACTAAAAGTGATGGCCTTTCGGTTTAGTTTTCCATTCTATAAATCATTAGGCATGTATAAGAAATTGACAAGATGAATATCCTGAAGTTTTAGTGAGAAACGGTGACCAGTGGAGTTCAACCAGGTCTGTTGTGAGATATCAGCTCACTGATGACATTGACGTACGGTGGAGCGATTTCGTGAATTAGTTGAAGTTAGACATTAACACCATTGGATGCCAGCCAGCTCAGTGGTCTAGAAGTTAAGCGTTCGCGCACGAGACTGATAGATCCTTGATTTGAATCTGGCGAGGCGAGATCATAGATGCGCACTGCTGAGGAGTCTTATACTAGGACGATATGGTCGTCTAGTGCTTACAGGTTTTTCCTTGATGGTCTAGCTTCAATTGACTCACGATCTCAACTATTAAAGTTATAATAATAATAATTATTTGTAATTTTCTAGTCAATTATGAATAATAAAAATGTACAATTGTCAAAACATAAAGATTATCAACAAATTATTGATAATTATGAAAATAAATTATCACATTTACACTTTTGTTTACATCAATTACATCATGATTATGATTCATTAATTCATTTATTTAATAATACTATTTATGGAATAATTAAATTTGGTAATCGAGAATGTAATCGTTTTAGTAAATTATTGAATATATCTAATCAAGAAATTGAAATTCCTTCATCATTATTACATTCAAAATTATTTCATCCATTGAAAACATTGAATCAAAATGGAAGAATTTCAAATTTAACTGAGAATACTTTAATTATCAAGAGGTAATTATTATTATTATTATTACTTTTTCTATTTTGAGTTCAAAGGGTCCATTTTTTATTCTGAAAAACTATTGCAACTAGAAATTGTTGGATGCCTGCTCAGTGATCTAGAGGATAAGCGTTCGAACACGAGATCGATAGAGCCTGGGTTCGAATCCCGTGCGCAGGATCATGGATGCGCACTTCTGAGAAGTTCCACAATAGGACGAGACGGCCATCCAGTGCTTCCAGGTTTTTTAGTGGTTGTCTATGACCAATCGATTCATGATTTTAATCAAGAACTTAATAATCTCCACAACCCCATACTGATAAATATTGTTAGAAGCTCTCAAAAATTCTTTGGTAAAGTCTCCAGAAACAGGGAAAAGTTTCAAAATGTCTCTCTTAATCAGAATAAACTAGAAACACCCCAAAAGCATCCAGTAAAACTACGGGTTATTTAATACAGTTTGATCGAATAATTATGTACTTTGTCAGTAAATTTGATGTAATTTTAAAAGCATCTAGAAGGTCAAGGTCACTTCTTAAACCAATAAACAAGCTTGTTTTTTTGCACACAAATTAAAGTATATTATTAATTACTCGTGCAGTTTGTTCGTTAAACAATAAGACTGTTTTATAGAATAGATGTATTGTGTCAAGTAGTAGAAAACGAAATATGGTTTTTGTTCTGTTTTAGAGCTCATCATAGGAATGTAACTGTATCCCACTCTTGACTAGTATATTGAAACTAAAACCTAGTAGCTCACTCTCAAAATGTTAGCTCATAATTCATCGAACTATTGAGTTTATATATCTATTTAATTGTTCAGCCTGCATGACATTTCTTATCAAAATTCAATCTTGAATATTTTCAACTAAATAATCGAAACTTTCTAACAAATAAGACTTATTAGTTGAATTCATGAGTCAATTGAAGCTAGATCATCATGGGAAACCTGGAAGCACTGGACGAGCGTTTCTTCCTAGTATGGGACTCCTCGGAAGTGCGCATCCATGATCCCGCTCCGCCAGATACGAAGCCAGTACCTATCGGTCTTGAGAGCGACTTTGTTGCAGTTCAAAACTTATATTTTAATTGAATGATTTGTAGAATTTTAAATTTGGCAATAATTTCGTCATGAACTGCTATCAGCTGGAAAGTAATTGAAAATACAATAAACTACTTGTTTCATAGGCAGTATAGACCATTGAGTTTATACTATATGGTTCTCTTTTTCACTAACAGCTAACTTACCATATATTTTTATGATATCAAAGATAGCTACTTTAGTTCTGAAGTGATTAAAGTCCAATCAGTAATAATTTTTTATCAGAACTTTGAGAAATGCAGCTCACAACTACTTACCATTGAACAAGTAATAATTGTTGAGTTATATGGGTTAAAGATCATAGTTTATTTCGAAACTAGTACTCCTGAAAGTTCAAAATAGGCTAGAAAGAAACACAATCAAGGCACCAGAAATTTAGACAATTATTCTGTTCTAGTTTGAAATTTCTCAGAAATTTCGAGACCTAAAATCCCTGAATTCAAACAAGTATAGGATTAAGCGTGTGCACTGCTGAGCTATTCTAATTGAAAGAAGAATAGCATTCTAGCCGTTTTAGGTTCTTACACGTTCTTTTACCTAATGCAAGTTCTAAACGGAAAGTGTACATATGTTTTAACTTCATCACGGATTCATCAATAATGTACATTCAATACCTTAATAAAACAATCGACCGTTTGGTTTGGTGGGTAGTGTATTACGTTTAAGCTCCATTTAGTCTAAATCTAATAATCTTCCCGTTTAATTCTAATCAACTAGTGATTGCTACGGGTGACCACTTCAACTTGAACATCGTAAACTATCATTATAATAAGCGTTCTCGAGGATATATTAATTTTATCTTAGTCAGCCAGTCAGTCATAAATAAGCTGTAGACAATATGATTCGAAAAGTTTGTATGATTTAGTAGAATTAATAAACATAAGATAATTTTGAAACTCGCTATTTAATTGAAGGTAGAGAAGTAAATGGATCTGTGCTACGGTGAAGAATCCTGATCATTTCCATCTTAAATAGTTTTTTTATTACTTTTAAATATTTTAAATATCTAAATGCCTAGACTATTCTTACGTAATTAGAACGGGAATAAGGATATATTAGTTTCTTATTAATTTATTTCGGACTTATAAACTTTAGTTATATCTGTTAATAATTATGTATAATTCTAAGGTTGAATTAGTTACAAATTGATCTTAAGTGGAGTACTATTTAAAAACAAGGAAGAATTGAACAACCGTCTCATCCTTGTGTGAGACAGTTGAACAGTACAACACACGACTCGTGGTGAACGCTTAACCACTTACTTACTTACGCCTGTGAAGGAGCATAGGCCGCTCACCAGCATTGCTTAACCACTGGAATTATAAATGTAATCAGTATGTATTCAAGCACAAAGATGATCCAATCTCACTAATGATGACTACTTCACTTCCACTATATCCACAAAACGTTTTCAACTAAGTGTTCATTTCGCTGACCCAGTTTAGACAATCACTGAAAACCTGGTATCACTAGTTAACTGTTTGGTCCTGGTATAAAACTTCTTAATAGTACTTATTCACGGTACCACCAAAGATTGTAGTTGATTCATGATCTCAATAACATTCAACAACCTCCATAAACTGATAAATACATATTTCAATGGTTAAGATCATGAGTCAGTTGGAGCTAGACCACCATGGAAAACTTGGAAGCGCTGGACGGCCGTTTCGTCCTAGTATGAGACTCCTCAGCAGTGCACATCCACGACCTCGCCAACTCAGTGGTCTAGTGGTTAAGTGCTCGCGTGAAAAACCAGTAGGCCCTGGGTTCGAATCCCACAGGGGGCGAGGTCGTAGATTTGCACTTCTGAGGAGTTTCATACTAGGACGAAACGGCCGTCCAGTGCTTCCAGTTTTCCATGATGGTCTAACTTCAACTGACTCATGATCTTAACCATTGAAATTACTATAATATCCACAAAACCCATCTGATATTAAATACATATTTGTTGATTATTACATCATTTAAAATTTATCTTATTTGTATTATTTTAATTCATTTTCAGTTGGATAAATCCATTGATAGATGTAATTGGTAAATTATCAGCATATTGTATAAGAATATGTGATTTAATTGAATCACAACAAGATCATTTAGAATGGCAATCAGAAAATGTTAATGAACTTCGTGATATAACTAGAAAACAAATTGAAATGCAAATAAGCAATTAATAAAAACACGTAAAGCTAATTTGAATCGTTTAAGAAGTTGTTTAAAACAAGTTAGTTTATACACTTTTAATATTTATGAGACTATAATTTATGGACGACCTATGAGTGACGCTAAACTGACCTTGACAATGTCCATCTACTAACTAAGACTTAATGAGAGTTATAAACTAAGGTGAAGAATTCGAATTATGATTTACAGTCGATGATTAAGGTTAGGAATTAGATTTCAGATTTTCATCATGAACTGGCATTAGCTATAATGTTAAAACTCTATTTATCCAAATGGATGAGTGAATTTCGTGTCGAAATCTGAGACTTGTCATCCTACATCTAATTGATTATAGTCTCGCCATAAATATTTTATTTTATAATAATAAAAAACCATTTTCTTAGGAATGTTGAAACATTTTATATCTCATTGGTTTTGTGCTATATTCAATGAGATTCGTATGCTTTACGTATACTCTCTGCTTTGTTATAATTTTGTTTACTATAGACTAAAATAATTAGGACTTGGAAAGTTGCATGAATTTCCTTCTTCCCTCTAATTAATTAGTTAAACAATATTCTTAATATTTGATTCTCCCTTCTTAACTGTTTCTTACACTTAGATTCCCATTAGAGATTAAATTAGTTTCTGTATTTTTTTTCTTTCTCAACTCGTTACTACCTCTTTTCTCTATAGTGACGTGATTGTGACAGTCTAAACAGATATATCTTAAAGCCAAGTTGAATGTATATGACAGACTGATCACTCGTAATAAGATCAAGAGTTCATAGGTTCGACACTTAAATACATGGTCGTATACACCTGTGTATTACAAGATATATGTTTATTTAGATGATGTATAAATTGTTTTTAATTCAAAAAATGACTTTCACGATTACTTGATACTAGCTAAAAGAAATATAACTGAAAAATTGTGATGGCTTTGCTTCGTTAATCAATCACCCTTGTAACCGTTATAATATAAATCTCAACGGTGTTTCTAATCAGAAGGGCATAAGAAACGGCAACTACAGTTTATTAGCGGATAGCACGAATCACAAAGCTATAAGCACACCGAACGAATTTAAATCAGAGAGGTGAATATGTATATGCAAGCAAGTACAGAGGCAAATTTATAGTCAAATCGAATCAACGTGCAACGAGGCACGACAAAGGCTATTAATAGGAATCGAGCACATATAAACATGCGAAGTAGGATGAATTATCGAGTGGTATTTAAGTAATCAACATTTTAGCTCAAGTCCGTCATGTGCTCTAATGATCATAACGGTACAGAGAAATATGCGAATTGTTACTGTCCAAATAACATTATCTGTTAAGTAAGTTTAATAGAAGGGCCTAACCAAAATGAACCATAATGGAAATTGATTGTAGGATAGTTACTACCATCTCAATAGATTAAGGACCTGATAAATACTTCATAATACTCATATTTTAATAAATATTCAAAGTAAAATTCAATTGTTCTTTTGTTTTTTTAATTTTACCCTCTATTTCTATTAAGAACCAGCATAATCCTTCATTAAATGAAGTAAATAGTATTTTATCAAAGGATCATTCGGATTCATATCCTATGGTATACACTAATGGTAATTCAGATAAAAATATTGGATCAAAACTTGATTACAATATGTCTACATTAAAGTTAGTATTAATTTCAATAATTTCCATTGAAATTTTATAATTTTTTTAATGAGGCCATAATTTATGGACGACCTATGAGTGACACTAAACTAACCTTGACGATGTCCATCTACTAACTAGGACTTGATGAGGGTTATAAACCAATGTGAGGAATTAGAATTATAATTTATAATTGATGGTTAGGGTTAAGAATTAGATTTCGAATTTTCATCACGAACTGACATGATGTATATAATGCTAGAATGATATTTATCCAAATGTATGAACAAATTTCGCGCCAAAATTCAAGACCTGTTATCTTAAATCTGATTGGTTCGTATATATATCTATATATCTATATATCTATATATATATATATATATATATATATATATATATATATATATATATATATATATATATATATATTCCGATTTCTATTCAATTCCATGTTGGTTACTGTGTTGCATTTTTCTTTTAACTGTTAGTTTTGTTTGTGAAGGTTTAGAACGAAATTAAATAAATTTTTATCATATCTATGTGATACTCTATATTGATTTAATAATGCATTTCATATCTTGAATGTGTATATGGTCAGAAATAACAAATAGCAGTTGATTTGCCAAATAGCTAATGATATTCCATTCAGTTATTTTTTTCTATTGAATATTATAAAATAATAAGAACAAATGTAACAGATTAATAGGAATTCATTCAGTTATTTTTAGACTGTTATCAACTCTTAATAACTTGGAAACATAACTTATAAACTAATTGGAGGTAATTAATTAAAAAGAAATTTTCAATGAAGATCCATAAATCTCATTAATTCTAAGATAAGTGGATCTTCTAGAAGTAAAATGATAAGACTAAGTAGAAAGCAAAGATAATGGGTCTTGAAAAGGAGATTATGTAATTCCAATTGTAAAATACATTAACTGGCTTAGTAAAATGTGTAAATCTTAGATCATTCTGTCAAATATGAAGATGATCTTACTATATGTGTGCCAACTATTTTTTGTTCTGATTGTTTTGTGGTGTGGTCCGGTGAGATCCATGTAGCTTTATGTATACGTTTGTGTGGAAATACTGAGCCGCCTATGAACAGTTTGTTGAATGCACAGAGATTTGTAAATCTTTCCCCATTTTCGTTTCTCTCTCCCAGTCCATGTCGTCCCATGATATCTTCATATCCGGTGGTGTCTATTCCAACTTTGGCGTTTAGATCTCCCATCAGAATAGTTAGGTCCCTTCTTAAGCACTTCTCTATGATTGACTGCAGCCGCCCGTAGAATTGATCTTTAATGTCGTCGTTGCTATCATTGATGGGTGCATAACATTGGATAATATTCATTGTGATCCCCTCCTTCTTTGTTTTGAATGATGCTTTGATGATTCTGGATACGTGAGATTCCCATCCTACAAGTGCATCTCGTGATAATTTGGACAGCATTAGAGCAACTCCCTGAGTGTGTGGAGCATTTTCTTCTTCATGACCGGAGTGTAGCAGCATGTCTCACTTATCTAGCCTTTTCTATCCAGCTTGGGTCCAATGGATTTCGCTGATTCCCAGTACTGCCAAGTTGTACCTCCTCATTTCCGTTGCTATTTGACTGGTCTTCCCGGTCTCCCACATTGTTCGGACGTTCCATGTACCTAAAAAAATTGTTGCTCTGGTTGTTAGAAGGGGCATCGGCCTCGTGGCTTCAGAAGGAACTCGGCTTTCACCATGAGCTGTCACATTTCTTCTAAATGAAGACCTTCTAACTCCCAGAGCGGAGTTTAAATGGTTTGAATCATTTTTTCTGGTTAGCGTTTTTCAGCGGGTTAGTTTTCTACGGGATGGGGTCTCTAACCCCATATACAACCCTCCTCCTTTACCTGGGTATGGGAACGGCATTAACTCTGGAAGAGCTACAGGCGGAGTTCTTCGTATAACCATAAAGGCTAAATGGTGAAACTTTTGATTTTGTTAGAAAGATAAATACATCTTGATGTTTGAGACGACTGCAAAGTATCTTTTCATCAAATTAAAATATTCGATATACTGACATCTTCACTCAGAAAGAACAAGAAGAAATTCAGATGATCAAGTGTAAAATAATTCTGTAGTAATTAAAAGAAGAACATGTAATCACAGAACTACTTCAAAACACTTCCTATCAAAGGTGTACCGTTATTAATAATAAGCTTATAAAGAAAATTATCACCATATATACACATATATATACTTGTAATTTATTGACTAATAATAATCGATTTCAAATAGTCGTTTAAAATAATGACAGAAGTGGTTTTGATGACAGTTGAACAAAAAACACCATGATCTTATCTGAAAAGAAGATCATCTATCACAAAATAAACGGTATAATTATTTTATAGATTATGAAGCTGAAGACAAATAAGAATTTTAATGAATCTTAGCTATTAAAATATAATACAGGCTTTAGTCGAAATATTTAGATGTTAGACTATCTACCTTCTGGTTGAGATCATGAACCGACTGATGTTAGACCACCTTTAGAAACCTGGCAGCACTGGACGGCAGTTTCGTCCTAGCGTGGGACTCCTCAGTGGTGCGCGTCCACTATCCCGCTCGCGGGATTCGAACCCTGGGCCTTCGGTTTCGCGCGCGAACCCTTAAACCACTAGACCACTGAGCCGACATCCAATGGTGATAGTGTCTAAATTCAACCAATCCACGAAATTGCGCGACCATCTTCCATTGTACTGAGGTAAATACCTGTCTCTACCGGACAGTGGATTAGCTCCACTGATCATAGCTTCTCACTAGAACTCCAAGAATTCCCTCACGAAGCTAGTCACCAGTAAGCACATGTTAATTACTAGTATAGGGGTTGTGGAGATTGTTAAGTTTTTGATTGAGACGAAACGCCCGTCCAGTGCTGCCAGGTTTCCAAAGGTGGTCTAACACTAATCGGTTCGTGATCTCAATCAAAAACTTAATAATCTCCACAACCCCTATACTAGTAATTATATACCTTCTGTCTGTCTGTCAATCACATTACTTAAGAGTACACATATTATAATTAAATAATAGTATCATCTAAATATTCAACTTTTTTGGAAATAAAATATCTTTACTCCAATATCTTCTCCAAATTACCCTTCTTTTTTTTCAATTTTCTTTTTATCTAAAAAAAACAATTCTGATCGAAGAAATTCAATGTATCCACTTAAATCAATCGATTCGAATTTATACTTCAATGATAATGTGAATAAACTAATAGAAACACAACATCATGGCTATTCTCCAGTATCTGGAGCGAATGGATCATTTAATAAATCACCTCCACCGCGTCTACTTCATAAAAATAGTAATATTTCTCCATATGAAAATATTAAATGTTTCAATAATAGTGAAAACTCATATAATCAAGATGGTCAATTTTATTCAGTAAGTATAGAACAGAATTATTCTAACATGAATGCTATTGAGATTTTATTTTTAATAAAGTCAGAACATTTTCAGAAATCGTTTTACATAAAATTATTTTGATACTTATAGGTAGATTAACTTGTAGTGGTAAATATTAACTAAGACCGCCTGTAGCTCTTCCAGAGTTACTGCCGTTCCCATACCCAGGTAAAGGAGGAGGGTTGTATATGGGGTTAGAGACCCCATCTCGTAGAAAACTAACTCGCTAAAAAACGCTAACTAGAAAAAATGATTCAAACCATTTAAACTCTGCTCTGGGAGTTAGAAGGTCTTCATTTAGAAGAAATATGACGCCTCATGGTGAAAGCCGAGTTCCTTCGGAAGTCACGACGTTGATGCCCCTTCTAACAACCATAGAAGCAACTTTTATGAATACATGGAACGTCCGAACAATTCGGAAGACCGGGAGAGTCTTCCAAATTGCTGCAGGAATTAAGAGATACAACCCGGAGGTGGTTGGAAACAGTGAAACACATTGGACGCAGGTTGGACAACAGCGACTAGCTTTAAGGGAGCTTTTGTTTTCATATACAAGTCAACATAAAATTTAGGAGGATAAAGATAATGTTATAGACTGATAATTGTTACCAATTGTAAAATCTTCTGTTTTTAGTTGGACAGTTTTGCACTCCAGAAAATTCCATTAAACAGGGTTGAATTTCTTTCACTAACCGACTCATTAGTTAGCTACGTAGCATTATAACAATGTTATGTCTCGAATTGATGTACTGAAAGTGTACTACTACTACTTACGCCTGTTACTTCTCGTGTATGAGCATGGGCCGCCCACCAGTACTCTCCATCTAACCCTGTCCTGGGCACTCCTTTCCAGCTCTTTCCAGTTGTTATTCATCCTTTACATATCTGCTTCTATTTCCCGACGTCATGTGTTCTTTATCCTTCCTCTTTTCCGCTTCCCTTCAGGATTCCGAGTTAGGGCTTGCCTCGTGATGCAGTTAGATGATTCCCGTAATGTACGTTTTATCCACCTGTAGCTATTCTAGAATTACTGTCGGTCCCAACCAAGGGGAAAGGAGGAGAGTTGGGTGTGAGGTCGGCAACCTCATTCCGTAGAAAAAATCTTGCTAAAAAACGTCAACCAGATTAAACTGAAAGTGTAATTTTTCTTATTTCTGTCGTACACTAAATATTCTATTGTAATGGTCTGCCAATAATTACACAGGTTTCAAATTAACCAGCCGATTTACTTCAGTTCTCTACAATTTCACTCCTATGCTTAATAATAACAACTAATTAATTATGTCATCAACTATACAATTTAATTATTGACAGTTTATATCAGGGTAACGATTCATCTGTGATTTTTTAAATCATTTTCTGATAGACAATTTGTAGGTAAAAAAATTTCATTGGGTTCTTTAGTATCGACTATAAATCCATTATTGTTGGGAATATTTACATGATAATTAATTTGTCATGAGCTGAAGGTAAAACAAATCTTTACAAAATATTCAAATATAATCGACTAGTATACTTACTATTCATTAAAAACAATTCACAACAGTAAGTTTACAGTGGTTTCTTCAAAGCAATATTATTATATAAAAATCAGATTCTTTGTTAACGTTTAAGTGTTTGATGTCGAACGCTAAAACTAGCAAACTTAAGACTTACTACTTATTAATGCCTGTCACTTCTCGTAGAGGAGTATAGACTGTATACCAGTATTCTTCATTCAACATTGTCCTGGACAATACTTTCCAGTTGTTTCCAGTTGCTATTCATTCTTTTTATATCTGTTTCGAATTCCCGACGCAGTGTGTTCTTTGGTCTTCCGTTTCCTTTCAGGATTCCAGGTTAGTTAACAAATGTAAGAACGCAACCAATATTAGTTAGCCGCATCGTCTAACAATTATTAGGATATAATTGATTCATTATGCATCTGGTATAGAAAATCACATTTTTTCTTAAATGTTATTTTATCGAGGGATTTTAGGGCTAACTCGTTTGATAATTTCAAATATTTTATTTTTCAGACTTCTTAACTGTAAACAAGAATTATAAGCGAAGATGGATGGTGGATATCAATGGAATCCAGGACGCGCGTTTCGTCTTATTTGAGACTCGTCGGCCAGATGTGTTTGCATTCAAGAGTTGGTGTTCACCATCCATCTTTGCTTATAATGCTTGTGACCTAAGGCAATATTGAGGCAATCCGCACAGAATTCACATATGCCAACAAGAGACTGATCAATTGCAGTTTTAAACATCAGTGGGAAAATTTAAGCAAACAGTACCAAGTGAATGTAATCAAGAATATCTTAAATTACAAATAAGCTTAAACTATGATCATTTTGACTATAAATATCTAGCGATCAAGCGTAAAGATTACTGATTCTTTAAACATGCTAATGTCGGCTTGTTCATAATCTTTAACATAATCACGAAACAGAAATCAAAAAAATGAAATAGAAGGCAACCTAGCCTTTGTTTTAAACAATACAGTTAATAAATTTGTATTTGCAGAATCATCATAGTTATGCGGACATGCATATATCTTTTGTTGGAGTACATAGATGCTTGCAAATAACTAACTTAATTTGAAATGACTTATCAGAGCTTGTATCTACCTGTTGTTTATGTTATGTACTGTAGCTGATTAGTCTCTTTTGGTATATGTGAATTTTGATTGCAAGTCCTGGATTTCACTGCTAGCCATTATGCAAAGTTAGTGACAGATTCCAACTGATTCTGGAAAGAAATCGGAGCTCTAAGCTCAATCACACTGAGTTCATCATCGGTTGTCTGGACGTAAAAAAACAAAAATGAAATTTCCGTCTTTTGTCCAGATTATTTTGATTTTATTAACCAGCACGTAAAACTAACATAAATAACTTCCTACTATTGCTGTCAATCAATAATGCAAATAGTACAATTTTTAAGCTGATGGTATGTTCAAATGAAATACATATTCAGCTGATGTGATTTACTTGATATCGGTAATGTTATCAAGAGTGTGTTATAGCTATGAAAAGTAAACTAAGAGCAAGAAAGGAAGCTGAGATTTGCACGATCCAAGGTAGAAGATAAAACTGACAGCAGATTAGGAGTTTACTCTATTCTCAAAAACTCTACTACAGCCTATAAACTAAATGTATTCATTTACGTATAAATTCTTTTCGCCATTTCATTATTAGTTGAATTCATGAGTCACTAAAAGCTAGATCACCATGGAAAACGTGTAAGCATTTCGTCCTACTGTGGGACTCCTCAGCAGTGAGCATCCACGATTCCGCCCCGCTAGATTCGAACCCAGGACCTATCGGTCTCGCGCGCAAACGCTTAACCTCTAAACCACTGGGCTGGCAACCAACGGTGTTAATTTCTAACTTCAACCGATCCATGAAGTTGCGCCACTGTCCACCATTGTCTTCACTGAGTTACTATCTCACAACAGACCCAGATGAACTCTAAAGGTTAAGCGCTCGTGCATGAGGCTGACACGTCCTGCGTTCGAATCTCGTGAGGCGAGATCGTGGATGCGCATTGCTAAGGAGTCCCACAATAGGACGAAACGACTGTCCAGTGCTTCCAAGTTTTCCATGGTGGTCTAGCTTCAACTGACTCACGATCTCAACAATTGGAATAAAAATTAATCAAACAATCTTATGTAAAGAACATATCATTCACATACATCATTGTTTATAAGCATTCTAATTATATTGACATGTATATAATAGAGAAATTATTCTCAAAATAAAGTTGAAATGTTGACTATTCTCTTTTACATTTACACTATACACAACCTTCATGTCACCATGGTTTCTAGCTTATTCTATAATAATCATTTATTATTACTGGTTTTTATAAAGTATTTTAATCATATTTTGAAACTCTATAATTATTGATCGGTTCATTAATTTTAATCTTTAGTCTTTAGATATAGATACTTGTTTCACAAAATGGTTAAATGCTGCTTATCGTCGACATACCTGTAAGATAAAATTTTACCCACATAAACATATCTTTTTAATGTACACTATTCCACTTTAAGATTCATATGCAATACCAATACACATACCTTTTTTTATTTGAACGGTGCACTAAGTAAACATAATTACAGAAAGTGTTCACTTATTCAATTATTCATTTTTAAGTGTCGATTTTCATTAGTATGGGATTATTGAGATTATTAAGTTTTTTGATTGAGATCATGAACCGATTTATGTTAGATTATCATCATTTGAGATGGCTGGGACATGTGTTACATATGCCCAACCACCGACTGCCTCGATGTGCGATGTTTTGTTGTATAGGAGTAGATTGGAAGAAAGCTAGGGGCGGCCAGACCAAAGCATAGCACAAGTCCATGAAGTCACTGACAAGTAGACTGAGTCATATTGGTAGGTGTAGACTACCTGGTTGGGGACTGCGAGATGATAGCAACCGATGGTTAGAGACCCTGAATGACATGGCTCAAAATCGTTTGCAATGGCGCAAGTGCATCCACTCTTTGTTTTCTCCCAAATTCTAATCTTCTGAATTCTTCATGTCCCTTTCTGTTTTCTCTTTCCAAATTTATTTCACTGTATTATACTCCTTGAATAATATCTTCAAACCCTAATTTTTCTGATTACAGCTTATAATTTTACTACATCTAGCACTATGGGATTTGAATCGACCACTTCATCTCTGTGCTAATGTGGTATGGCAACTCAAACTGATGTACGTACATAAGAAGTTCTACGTTGTTACTGAATGACTGACTGATAACCTGGAAGTATTGAATGGCCGTTTCGTCCTGTTATGGGACTCCACATCAGAACACATCTACGATCCCGCTTATGAGATTCGAAACCAAGTTTTATTGTATTAGTTATATTTGAAATTTTTCCTACATTTTTTTAAACATGCAAATGGGTCACAAGTATTGATATTTCTGATAATTTTATTGGTTTGTTGTGACTTATTGGCTTGAACATTTTACCATGATTTGTGATTATATTCACCTTGAAATAATTATATGCACATTATTTTAAAAACTGTTTGTATTCAATGTTCTGAATGACATACATACCACTATGGGAATAGTTAATCCGTTGTAACTCTATATTTTGATAATTATAATTATAGTCAAGTACAAGTTTAAAGGATTACTTACTTACTTACGCCCGTTACTCCCAATGGAGCATAGGCCGCCGATCAGAATTCAAGGATTGTTTTATCCCAATTGTTGAGATCGTGAGTCAGTTGAAGCTAGACCACTATGGGAAGCCTGGAAGCACTGGACGGCCGTTTCGTCCTACTGTGGGACTCCTCAGCAGTGCGCAACCACGATCCCGCCTCACGAGATTCGAACCAACGGCCTACCGTTCTCGCGCAAGAATGTTTAACCTCTAGACCACTAAGCTGGTAGGCGTCCGACGGTGTTAGTGTCTAACCATAACAAGTCCACGAAATTGAGCCACCGTTTATCATTGTCTTCAGTGAGTTACTATCTCACAACAGACCTGGTTGAACTCCACTGGTCACCGCTTCTCACTAGAACTCCAGCAAATATCTCTTGAAGCCAGTCACTAATTAGCATATGTTGATTAGTATCAGAAGGGGGTTTTGTGGAGATTGTAGTAATTTCAACAGTTGAGATCGTGAGTCAATTGAAGCTAGATCACCATGGAAAACCTGGTCCTTTCGTCCTGTTGTGAGACTCCTCAGTAGTGTTTTGTTGTTTTAGTGTAAATCACTTATGTTACGAAAGATATCTAGAATAAAAGAAAAAAATGTCTTCATTTTTTGTGTTCAACTTTATGGTAGTATGTGCTTGCATAAAAAGTTTTGTAGTGCAACTTAAACTTTAAAAGTCAAACTAAATTTATTTCTCTTAAAGCCAACGATATCGATTGGAATTCATATAAGAATTTCCTAGGAAATGGAATATAATTATAGTCAGTTTTCAAGACCATAATGAAGGACTGCGGTTATCAGTTTGTTGTTCAAAGTGTAGAAATATCATTTTGAACTTTTACAGATGTTCTTAAAGACAATTAATAGTTATGGGTATGATGCTATAATCCTTAGTTTTAAATTAACTTTGTCAATCAAATCGTTTATTTTGTTCATTAGGCTGAACAACTTTACATATCATGGTAATTTTGTTTTGAACTCAACAATTAAATAATCATCGACAGCTAGTCTCAAGTTCATATATACCGTTTATTAAGAATGATTGACGATGCACATTGTTTTTTATACCCAAACTCATTGAGGATTAAAAGGGTAACTAATCGGTGTAAGAAATGCCGCAGCATCTAAAATATTTATAAGGCTGTTTAACATCAATTTTTTGCTAGACTTTCTTTAAAGAATAAACATTAAGTGCAATGATAACATCTTCATTCATGTATTACAAGTTATTGTCCTATTTGTCCCTACACAAACATACAAATTCAACTCGACTTTTATACTATTCTGATCCAATAATTTAGAAAAAGATTCATATATTATTATTATGGAGAGGTGGTTCAATGGTCCCATCTTCGAACCCCTCTCCATTTACTTCGGTCTGAGCAGTCAGATAGTATTATTAGCTGTTCTACTTGGAGTATCGCTCATCCTCAAGTACCCGGTGGATGAGTTAATGTAGTGTGTGTGTGTGTGTGATTTTTGTTATTCATTGTTGTCTGATTATAAAACGTTATTGTTGATTACCTAATGTGTATGAAGTGTTTACCAATCACAAAATTCAATCAGCTTAATACTATGCACCAAATTCCTGTTAATTAATAGAATATAATGTTATCATCTAGTCTGTTAGTCCCTATAGCTTTATTTGTTATGAAGCTCTACAACTATAGATATGAAGCATACAGATTACAGTTACGTTTTGAACCTAAAAAAATCATGTCATGAAACATGGTTCATTTAGTATAATAATTATCCTTATGAAATGTCACCTCCTTGGAAAAAACGAACCACGAATATACTTTCTAATGAGTAAAAATTTACACTGTCAAATAAGATTATTAGATATAGAACTTGAAATAAACATTGAATGGACCGAAATTGAATGCTTCACTAGGCAATAATATAGGTTAAAAATGATGCATAATGACTGACTAGGGTTAAACTCTTTTCATTATATTTTATTAGGTGATTGAAGCCAGTTGGTAAGAAACCCTACACTTAGGTTATGCGTTAATTACCACTTGCTCGAAGCTGTAGATGAAGTCTTACAGAGCTGTCATTTCATCAGATTCTTATTTTGGCAAACCAGTTTTACAATTAGTGAGGCTACCACTGAGCTATTAGGTTAGTGACTAATGAGATCTTGAGTTACTGAGACTAGTGATAGCATTGTAATTTGGCAGATAGAACTCCAATATCACTAGGGACTGAACAAACTTGGATTTCGTTACTACTTAGTGATCAAATAATTTAAATACTGTATTCATTCAGATCACCTTATCATTTCACTGTTATACTATTTTATTGTTCGAATCAGCACTAACATTCTTGTCATTTAGTTGTTGTTTTAAATGTGAATAATATTAGTACACCTTATGCACCATCTATATTCTTACTACCAGTAATTTGTAAAGTGTCATTATAACTATAATTTCGTGCTTATTTATTTATATATTTATAGACTTTAAAGGTAATTTTTATGACAGAAATAGATAGAAAAGAGCTCATTTGAATAAGAAATGTTATACAGCTATTTCATCTTAAATTCACTTGGTATTGTTTGGCTTGTATCTTCCCATTGGTGTTTAAGACTGCAATTAAACAGTCTGTTATTGGCATATGTGCATACTGTGCGTATGCTTCGATATTGCCTTAATTCACAAGCTTTTTGTAAGCAGTGATGGATAGTGGCTAGCAGTGGAATCCAGGACTGATTAATTGCAGCCTTAAACTTCAATGGGAAGATACAAGCCAAATAATACCAAGTGAATTTAAATTCACTTGGTATTACACAAGCAAGTGGCCATCAGGGCTCAGTAGCTGAGTGAGTAACGCGATGTCGTCTGAAGCGAATGGTAGCGGTTTCGAATCCCAGAGTGAACATCAAATCCGAGATGCAGGTGCGTCAGGCTGACTCGTCCGGAGTGGGACGAGACGCGCGTCCTGGATTCCACTGCTAGCCTTTATCCATCAGTGCTTACAAAAAATATTTCATCCTAGTTTATAACTCACCAGAAATATTCAATTACGGTTCTTTACTAGTTTGAACTTAGTATTGGGTAAACTTTTGGAAAATCATAAGTTGGAATACTCCTTACATTTTATTGATTCTTCAAACAACTTCACTCAGTGATTATCATATCAAAAAGAATATCTTAGCACGTGTATTACAGTAAGCTTTGAGAAGATGTGTTCAAAAAAGCATAGATCACAGTTAAATATTTTGTTCAACTATGATACAGTATTGATGATATAAAACCAACTATAACAATATAAAATATCAGACAGAAAAAAAGTCAACTTGAAATATCACAGTGATGTTTTATCGGCGAGACTATAATTTATGGATGAACCAATCAGGTATCAGGTAATAAGTCTAGAATTTTGGCTCAAAATTCACTCATTCATTAGGCTAAATATAGATTTGGCATTATAGCTTATGTCAGTTCGTGATGAAAACCATAAATCTGATTCCTAACCTTAACCATCAACTGTAAAATCATAATTCTAATCCTCTCCCACAATATTTTCTTTCATTTGATCTTAGTTATTAGGTGGACACTCTCAGCGTCAATTTGGTGTCGCTCATAGGTTATCCATAAATAATAGTTTCACCGTTTTACCTTTATTTTCATTTGTTTGAATAGCATATTATACAAATTAAAACAGAAATAGTTTCTCTGTTATTTACAGGAAGTCGTTGTTTGTCACTAAGACTTAAGATGTTTTTCCAATCTTTCTTATCTATATTCCTTTAAGATTAAATATAAACTATATCGAACAATGTGAACAACTAAAGGTTATTATTAATATTGATTACTTATGCATAATTATAAATCTGGGACGAGATGAAACATTTGAGTTTCAACACTTTTCCGAAAATTATGGGTTAATAAATAAAACTTTTATTTTAAGTTTCCAGCGAAATCATTTATATTTCCAACAACTAACAGGCAAATTTTTAAGTAAGGTCGGGGAGTCGCTAACAGTGGAATCCAGGACTCACGTTTCATCTTATTTGATACTCGTTAATCAGATTTTCTTACGTTTAATTATTTAAGTTCAAGCTACGATTTGCAACCAATAACTTACTTACTTACTTCCTCCTATTACTCCCAATCGAACATAGGCTGCCGACCAGTATTCTCCAACCCACTCTGTCCTGGGCCTTCATTTCTAGTTCTATCCAATTTTTGTTCATTTTTCTCATGTCTATCTCCATTTCTCAACGTAATGTTTTATTTGGTCTTCCTCTTTTCCTTTGGCCTTGAAAATTCCATATGAGGGCTTGCCTTGTGATGCAGTTTGGTGCTTTCCTCAGTGTATGTCCTATCCACTTCCAGCTCTTCTTCAATATTTCTTCCTCCGATAAAATCTCGTTTGCTCTCTCCCACAGTAGGTTGTTGCTGATAGTGTCTAGCCAACAGATCTGAAGTATTTTGCGTAGACAGTTGTTAATAAACAATTGTATGTTTTGGATGATGGTTTTCGTAGTTCTCCATGTTTCCGCTTCATACAGTAGAACTGTCTTGATATTTATATTGAAAATTCTGACCTTGTTATTGGTTGACACTTGTTTTGAGTTCTAGATGTTTTTCAGTTGTAAATATGCTGCTCTTGCTTTGCCGATCTGCGCCTTCACATCTGCATCAGAACCACCGTGTTCATCAGTGATGCTGTCCAGATATGTAAAGGTTTTTACATATTCCGAATTTTCACCGCCGAGTGTTTGCAACCACTAAACTTCGCTTAAGGCACTGAATGCATTATACACTCAGCTTCTGAATATAAATATCCATCAAGTTATGAAATCTTTATAAATATCAAGCACATTCTTTAATTGTTTTGCACATCTTAATCATACTACATAGAAGTAGTATTTTGTTTTCTGCTAAAAATGTATTATTTATTGATTTTTATTTAAAAAGAAAAATATCTCTTTCACTTTCAGCCCAATCTTCTTTGATGTCAAATAGACTACTATCAATGAAATAATTTATTCAATAATAAACCAAATAAAATGTATGAAGACAAAACAAATAATCTTTTCATCGATTCATGGAAACCTCTAAGAATAACCTTGGAGGCCTTATTTATTTTTTTCGTACTTACTTTTATATTTTAAGCCAACATATAATTTGTTTCTTACCTATTATGAATGTTCAATCATAGATACAATTTGTCATGTGTTAATATGCACATCAGTATGATGAGGGAAGAATTTTACAAAATGATAAGGATACTAAATATCTGTTGTTGTTTTTTCTACAAGATAAACAGCAGGTTATCAGCACTGTCTTCTCTATTGATTTTCTTATTATGGACATTTCGTTTAGTTCAATAGGAATGTGATTAACTTTAAGATTTTCCTTACTTCTCATATTATCATTTCTATTCAATTAGTTCATACACTATATTTGTTATTATTTTTTGATTGCATAACAAGTATTTTTGATATTCAATGAATTTAAATAATGAAAGAAAAATAGTGACATTGTAATAATTTATGGTCTATGATGAATAAAACATTTTTTTAAAAATTTTATATGTTGTTTTCGAAATGTTATTAGATTGGTGCTCAAAAATTGTGATATGTGTAACAAACTATTGAAATTTTTATGAGTAGTATAATGTAATTAGCACTCATTTGACTGTTCTAGCTATTAAAGTTGAAAAATCATCGGGGAATAAACTTTTGATTTTGTTGGTAACGTATGTGAATGGATTTAGTAAACTAGATAGTTAGATCAACTTTATTACTCAAACTTGGCCATTCTTCTTTGAAGAAATTAGTATTTTGTTGTTCGAGGAGCGTATAAGTCGATATTGGGTGGTTAATAACAATTGATATGATGTCCTAGACTAATGTTTCGTGTTTTTTGGAACTCGAGGAAAGAGTATCTGTATTCTAGATGAGGTTGATACGGAGGGTGAGGTTTGAATCACAGTCACTCAGTACCTTGTACATTACCATTAATCTATACCACTGATAACTAATCTTACGTATGACTAAGAATTCTATAGTGATTAATTACTGAATGTTGAATGATGTAAGATTTATTCAGTTCTTAATGCTGATCGAATTCCTCTGATTACACTGAATAGTGCTTACTTGACATCGTGTTGACTATGCTCTGTCAGGAATGTACACGTTATTGGTAAACATCGGATTTCGTGTTCATATCATTTGTCAATAACTAGAAAATCAGTATTAGTTTATCGAAAGTAAAAAAGTAATCATTTGTACAACAAATCGACTAAAAAATACATTTCTAGGTACTGTAAGCAGTTATTCAGTTACAAGAATATCAACACCAACTTCTTAGTAGGTGATTTGTTACTTATAAGTCAGATACTATGAGTAAGTTAGAAATGACCTCTGTCTATAACTGGAATTTTCACCTATTGTTTAAGAACCTTTATTAATCTTACGTATTTGTTAGTACTCATCAGTGACAGTAACAAAATTCATTTATGGTAATTTCAAGTTTATTGATACTAACATACAGAAAATCTACTGCTTTACAAGATATCTGATCCCTTTTAAACTAATCTACTAATCTACTTCACTTAGATGATGCCATTTAGAAAATCCAGTTACTTGGTTAACAATAATAAAGTGTTCTTCTTATGATTTGACATTTATTTTTCTAGCGATAAATCTACAAACTGGTAGTCTTAACACATGGCTTGAGTATTTGTTCAATGTCAATGTCAATGTGATTTACATTTGAGTTAAAATAGTAATTTGATGCTTAATTCAGTCCTGTTTACCATATAAGATCAAGCTTATTCAACTAATAAATTTCAGTATGAAAAAAGCCATTTTTGATAATCAACTAATCAACTTGAAACAATATAGTTCATAGATCTGTTGTAGCATTAAGACCAATATTACCTAATTATACTTTGAATAGTGGTAAGTTAATGAATTCGGAATGCAGCTTTCGCTATACTATTTGAGAATAATCTTGAAAACCCATTTGATATCATTAAAATTCGGTCAGTTTGAAAAAAGGAATACTCAGTTGTTTACGATCAATTACTAAACCTAAATGAAAATCAAGCCGCTGATAAAGTACAAATTCGATTTTATGGTACCAATGCAGTGGAAGTTACTCACAAGGATGTTTGTAAATAGTGTGTAGTGGAAGGTGATTTGTAAGTTGCACAGTGAAGAGCTTCAGTACATTGAAAGCACAGCGTTGGTAGAACACTTGGAGACCAGTTGAAAGGACATCTCAGGTTACAGAACACACTGGAAGATGTAAATTGATGACTGGAAGCTACATAGAATTTAGTTAGTGAGTCAGATCCAACGTAGGACTAGGTACATATATGCATCGGTTCAAGTTGTCACACCTCATTAGCACATCAAGATCAACACCAAATCCATAGAAGTAGTAAATTCAATGTTGGTAATATATAAAAGAAATATTACATATAAGGATATAGTACAGGAAGAAATAATTAGTTCGTAGAATGAAAGATATGAAGCGATTGTAATCTCACAGTTTAAGGGGAGACAGAGAGTGTATACACCTACACCACTGTGGTCGATTCTGAGTCATGTCATCAAGAGTCTCCAACCATTGGTTACGATAGCCACGTGGACCTCAACCAAATAGTCTGCATCTACCAACATGGCTCAGACCAGAAGTTAGTGACATCAAACACGTTGAATTATTATATAAAAACTTTGTAACTTCTCACATTCAGTATACTTACTTCCTGCCCATTGTCGTGTTTTACACCAATAGAAATTTGTAGCTCAATAACTCTGTTCAAAGTGTATTCCATGTCTTCATATTGTCTTAGTCAACTAAATTATATACTTAATTAGAAGTGACCTATAGAGTGAATTATCCTTAGTTAAACAACCGTTTAAAACCATAGAAGACAGGAGAGCTGTTTTCTAATTCTCGAGCAATCATATTTGATACAAAACAGCTCAATCAATTTTATGAAATACAATGGAAGATCTAAGATACTATTTTGCTTAAAGAATTCAGGTTTAAATCAGTACTTTGTATATTCTATTTTCCTTGGTTTGTTCTACTGTTTAGTATAAACAGATAATCTATTAAAGATCAGTTTAGCCAGTTTAGACAATTTTTTCATTCTGTTATCTGTAAGATGTTCATCTTTATCTTTAAGAACATTATACTCTATAGAATTATTGGGAGTTTAAATCCAGTCAAACTGAAGTATTTTCAGTTAGGCAATCACGGATGATATTTTATTTAAATGATGATGAATCTTAAATAATTTTATATTCAGGGTAGTAGTAGTAGTAGTAATAGTAATAGTAATAGTAGTATCAGTAGTAGTAGTAGTATCAGTAGTAGTAGTATCAGTAGTAGTAGTAGTATCAGTAGTAGTAGTAGTAGTATCAGTAGTAGTAGTGGTATCAGTAGTAGTAGTAGTATCAGTAGTAGTAGTGGTATCAGTAGTAGTAGTAGTAGTAGTAGTAGTAGTAGTATTAGTAGTAGTAGTAGTGCAGTGAACGAGAGCACAAGTGATGACAATCGAATATATTTGAATACAAAATTACAGAATGTTTTAGTAATATCTAAGAACCATATAGTAAATACTTCATTTATAAAATATCAATCAATCGTCTCAGACTTTAATGTTCCTTTGTTTCCACATCAATCATTCTTTGTTCTTGTTCTCTTTTTTTCTTTCATCTACTTAACCTTCTACCACTTGGCATTTCACATTCGATTGATGGTATATATACTACTTATATCTGTTAATATTAGTAGCGCACACCATAGTAATATTAAGTTTGTTTTACTTCATAATAATTACATGTTTGTTTTTCTTTAAGTATCTATATTTGATAAATTTCATAAACATTATTATCACAAATATTAGTAGATCAATTAATCTGTTATAATTCATTTCTTTTGTAGTTCAAATGATACAGTTACAAGCCTATAATGAATTACGTAATTATTACAGTATTGTAGTCAACAACCAAAAAACTAATAATTTAAAAATGAATTATTTTTTTCGCATTATCAAGTCATGAGGCAAATAGAATCATATGAGTAAAACATTTTGTTGTCCTGTTTCAAATTTAATGAAGTTTGTGAATTGTTGTTTTCTTTTTTTTTAAAGAAAAAGAAACAGGCTGACAAATCTATTTTATCCATAATATTAAAATTTGTGGTGATTGTTGAACCATACAACACTGGAGAGATTATTTGGCTCATTATGTAAATTGGACATAAAAGCCCTTACAGAGATTTAGATCCATGATCTTCTGGCCTAGTGACAAGAACTTAATCGTTTGGCCATTAAACTATCCAGTAGTTTATATTTGCACTAACTTCTTATAGTAATAATATCACCAGTTATCAGCAGTGACTAATTTTGAGGGGTTATTCCTTCAGTTCTAGGAAGAAATGATAATTAGGTAGATCCAGACATACCAGGAGTGGGGTATCTATGAATGATATTGTACGATAGTTGAGCACTATCACGAGCTAATTTGAATAAGAAATGAAAACTATTGTATATCGCCTTAGTGATCTATGTGTTAAGCGCTGTCCATCAGACTTAAAGATCTTACATCATTGATGAGAACTGGTGTAAGGTTCCAAACTAAGATGAAAAATCTATCCAGTGCTCTCTAGTTCTTAATGCTCATCTAGCCAAGTATAGTCCGTGATGTAAACTATTTTATTTATGTTAGATAATAACTTCTGCAATAAATATACTGTTTTTCTTTCCATATGTAGCATATTTTCAATATCGAATGCTTATTTAAATTCCAATCATTAGTTCTCTTCTCTTTATTTAGATCATTTTGAAATAAACTCGACCAAAACAAACAAATGGATAATTAGTAAACAAAGAAGAGTGCCTAATTTAATGTTACTTATTTACTTTGATAACTTATAATCATTCATATCAGTTAATAGTACAAATTTAGTGAATAATTTTCTCAGAAAGAGGGTTTTATAGATATTATAGTGATTTATTAG